CACACACGCACACACACACACACAGTCACAGACTAACACAAGGCTAATTGATTAATAACTCGATTCGAAAATGAAGAAAACAAATACGTACAACTACTAGAAAAGAACACAAAGGTAATGCGCACTCATTTCCAGTCTGCGTTGGAGTGGGAGGGGCAAGTGTGAGATTGGACCATAAAAGAAACGAAAAGAAAGATGGCAAAATCCAAATTCAATCCACTCGGTGGCGCTGCGTGTCTATTCGTCTGTCCGGCATAGGCCAAATAGTATATGCCGTATACCAAACAACTACAATACACCCACATTGCCAATGTACACACACACACACACACACACACACACACGCTTCGTGAGCAAATCTCAAATAAAAGCAAGCAGAGTCAACGACGCGTCGCAACGTCGCTGCTGCTGCCGACGCTCCTCTGCGTTGATGGATTGTAGCCCACACTAATACACACGAGCAATACTCACACACACACACACACACACACACACGCACACGCGGCGGACCGAGAAAAATACACAATCCAGTGGAATCGTTTGGCCGGTGACTCTTTCGGCTTGTCTTGTGTTCCTTGTTCGCCCTTCGCTCCCCCTCTCTGCCCATACATGAGTGCACGTGTGTGTGTGTCGTGTGCCACTGCTCATGGCGTTCAGTGTCCCCGAGACCGAAAAGAAAAAAAATAACAAAACAAAAAAATTACATACTCTGCGGAACGAAACGAAATAGAAGGCAGAACTCTGCTTCTGCTGCTGCTGCTGTTTCTGCTTCTGCTGCCTGCCCGTTGCTGTTCTTCTTTTTTCTTTAGTGTGTATGTATGTATGTATGTGTTTCTTCTTCTGTCATTCTTTTTTATTGTTTGCGGCGGTTGATTTGTGCGTGTGTTAAGTTAAAATTGGCTCTCACGTTTCCTTCCACCATGTAACCGTTCCAATCTCTCAGTTTTTGAGGCATTCCATTTTTTTTACGGGTAACCCCTGCCCCTGCCCACTTTTGAGAGCAGTTCAATTCCCCTTGTGTGCCTGTGTGCTTTGTTTCGCATTATTGCAATAGTTGCCCATCCCCCCTCCCCCCTCTACCCCACCATCACAAGAGACCAACGACTTTTGCGAGCCGGCAAAAAGTGCGTATAAGAATTGAATTTGTGCGTAACACCCCACATTTTGGGGTAAAATTTGATGAGCAATGCGGCCGGATTGGCGTCTTGTGGAAAAAGTTTACCTGTAACACGTAAAACGCTGGTTAAGAGCCGCTGCGGCGCCGACGGCTGCTGTTCGCTTATCGCTGGCCCCTCTTTGTTGCGCACTTTCGTGTTTTGTTTGTTGTCTGCTTGTCTCACACACGTAAAATTGGGCGATTGCGTAGCTTTTGGCCTGTACGCAATTCCCAATTGATTTTCATCGCCTTTCCCTTTTGGCAAACAATTTTATACGCTCAATTCACTTATTCTTCTTGTTTCGCACACACACACACACACATATATATATATACACATGCATAAACACACACGTCGCTACGGAGCAATAATTTTCGCCGTGGGCGTTTTTCTTCTGCTTTGCCTTTGAAAAATTTCTTCCCATGCGCCGCTGTCGCAAGCAACTGTCACAAATGCAGCCGCCCACAAATGCCAGACATGCAGCGTTTTGCGCAAGTTTCCACTGCACTTAGTATGTATAATTTGTAAATTAAAAATAATGCTTACAGTTGCAACAAATACTTTTCGCACTTCTCACTGCCGATATTAAAACCGCGCGCGAACCGCACGACAACCGAAACGAAAATGAACCGATGCAATGCCATGGAAAATGAAATAAAATGGAATTGGATGCGTCGGGCGTCGAACGTCGGCAGCGCTGCCCGAAAGAGCGACAGCGTGAGCGCGAGCAGCGAGCAGCGAGAGTATAGAGAGTGCGACTGAGCCGACTTTGAGCATTTTTGTTGTTGTTTCCAAATTAAGTGTTGAGTTTATTTAACCGAATGAGCAAAAAACTGCGCTCAATAACTCTCAAGACTCAATATTGTACGTATGTATGTATGGCTGCATTCAAGCACTTTATTAAACAGAGGCTGTTAGCTGTTTGAGTGGAAACTCTTTTTGAGTGCATGTGTGTGTGTGTGACAATCTGTTGCCCTCTTTTAACCAAACTGAGATATGTTTATACCTTATGGGGTCAGAGACGTGTCCAGGTGTTACACATTTTATGACAAAATTATAATACCCTTAAAAGGGACTATCAAAGGGGTATAAGGCATAAATATGCACACTCAATATTTAAACACAATTCCAATTAGAACGCTCACTTATATGCTCAATATTAAAGATGATTCCAATAAGAAAGCGCACAATTGCATAAGTTTGTTAAGAGTTTAGGTTTAAGGTCTGGAGAGGATCAACACTTAAAAGTTAAAGGTGAGCGGATGCACGGCGAAGTAGCCTTTGCTCTTGGCCACCTGCGTGGAGAGCCGGATCAGGTTGTTGTCGTTGTTCACGTAGTTGCCATTGAGGATCTCCATGGCAAGGCGCAGCACATCGGCGCTGCCCTGGGTGCAGATGGCGTTGGCGGTCAGCAGCTCGTGATCGGCCAGCGGCAGGCCAATGCAGTAGGAGCGGGAGGCGCGGGCGGTGCTCGCCCACATTGCGTAAATTGCGGTGGAGATGTTGGCCAGACGCTGCAGTTCGCTCTGACGCTCCACAATCGCGTTGCCATGCCGGGTGAACATTATCTCGACGGCCATGTGAAGGCGCGCCACCGAATGCTCAATGCACTGTGCGGCCGCCTCGAGCGAGGGATGCACATGCTCGGCCAGCTGCATGCGCGTCTTGGGACTCTCCAAGCTGGCCGTGCTCAGGAATTTGCCGAATATGTGTCCGGGATGGAACAATGGATTGCGCGACTTGCGCACGCCCTCATTCATCCGTTGCTATACAAAGGAAATCAAATGGGAATTAGGCCAGGGAACAACATGTTCCAAGCTGCTCTCGCTACTCACGCCGGCATGCTGCAGGCCAGACAACGCGATGAACATGCTCAGCGTGCTCAGGGATTCGCCCTGCGTGCACAGCTGTGCACTGTCCCGCAGCGCCCGCTCCGCCGGCTGCCCGCTGTGCAGGCTGCCGGGTCCCAGAAGGCTCAGATTCTGCGTGGAAATCGCGTACAGCTGCTGCAGTGTGTAGTACTTGGTGATGGCGCTCTCGAGCGTCACATCCTGTCCATGGAACTCGTCCAGCAGGCCGGCCGTCAAATAGAGCATGCTCTCCATGGCATAGACGGAGCACATGCCCTGCGCCAGATTCACGCGCGTCAGCTCCAGATCTCTGCAAGGACATTTGAATTAAAATCTGTGTGATTCCTTTATGGTACATAATAGGTGCAGTCTAATCAGGACTCATTGATACGTGGCCACTCACTTGATCTGGACGCCGCACTGTGTTGTCTCCACGCTGAACGTTGTCAGCTGGTTGAGCAGCCGCTTGGACAGTGCGATGCCCAGGAGACTGCTGCGCAGACGGGCGAAGCGTACGAGCAGCTCCGAGTGCCGGTTGCCCTCGTAGCAGATGCCCAGGATCTGCTGCTCGCTCAGCTGCACCCTGTCGAAGTGGATGCGTCGCATGGGCGCCTCGCGGCAGCCGAAGGTCGCGTGCAGCTCGCCCAGACGCACGCCCGGCTGCTGGGCATCGACCAGAAAGAATGTGGAGCCACGGCCCACATCGCCGGGCACATTTATGCGCTGTGTCTGTGCCAGCACGAGAAACAATTGCCGTGTGCCGGCGGGCGCCACAACCACAAACGCCTTCTCGCCAGACAGCGACCAGGTGCCTGCGTCCGAGTTGTAGATGGCTTGTGTGCCAAAGAAGTCATCCTCGGGCGGCGTGTACTCGAAGATGGCGTCGGTGCCTATGAGCTGGCCACTGCCCAGGGCTGGCAGGTAGCGTTGCTGCTGCTCCGGCGTGCCCAGCTCGCGCAGCATGTCCACAACGACGCGATGCGACTGCAGGCCGAGCGCCAGGCTGGTGTGTGCCGATTCCGGCTCACTGGCCATGAGGCTGGCGCTCCATCTGTAACCCCTGCCGTCGTAGTCTGTGGGCACGTTCAGCCCGTACAGGCCGAGCTGTTTCAGGCTGTCCAGCGCCAGCTGTCCGGGCTGTTCCTCCGCAAAGTAATTCTTCAGCGGCAGCAGCGCGTTCTGCAAGCTGGCCATCTCCTCGCGCGCTATGACCTCTGGATAGCCGAGCAGCTCCTTGTCCGTAATGCCCACAAAGAAGTTCTTCACCAGCGGTTCACGTGCCGGCAGACCCTGCTGCTCTGCCGGCGACACCTCCTCCGGTGCCTGTGCATTGCCACCCCGCGGCTGTGCATGGATGCTGCTGCTGCTGGCGGTGGTTGCTTTGCTGCCCGCTCCGCGTGCCAACCGAAATGTTCCGCTTTTGCTCTGATTCTGATTCAATAATCTGACGGCACGCGAAAACAAATTGTAGCGCATCTTGAATTAGGTAATGTAATGTGCAGCGGCAATAGAGATGGGCAATCCATATTTATATTTACGTGCGCGCTAGCGCAAGTAACCGATAGTATCGAGTAACTGAGTGCCATCGTTGTGACATGTTTTGGTATTTAAATACAAATAACTTAATGTACGTTATTTTTGCAAATAAACATAGTGACAAACGTAACACAATTTTGTAGTATTAAACTTGCTTATAAGCATACGATAATTCGAGCGCCACAATATTGCTCATCTCTAGCTGCACTAATGCACCATCGCGAGCTATCGATATAGCAAAGCGATTATTTTTGTAATCGTTTTTCTAACGAATTTTTAAATCGTATCCAATTTAGAACTGCAAGCCTTCTAGCCTGTCGTTCGCCTTATTTAAATGTTCCATACAATATTCAGGGCCTTATCATGATACAAATATACATGTGTGTACTTTACTTAACCTTAAAAATAATAACATTCTGAATATACATTAAATATTGATTAAACAGTTGTTTTGTCATTTGGATTAAAAACACAAAACCCTTTATTTGATTCATTTTGTATATTGGTGTTATATAATTGCTATTGACTGGGCACATTAAGCTCTCTACTTAAAACAATTGAACAAATAAAGAAAGATTTGTTGTTTTTTTTTTTTTTTGTTTTAGTGTGTTGTGTATTCACTTTTGTTTATTATTATTTTTATATTCTTCTGTTTTTCGTGTTAGTTTCACTTGTTCGCGTGTGGAACTGTTTTATTTATTTGTTTTTGTTTTTGTTTTTTTTTGTCATTTTGTTTCTTATTGCTTTATTGTTTAATTTGTATACCAGCTAGATTGAAAATTTGTTAATAGCGGTAGTTAGTTATACGTAGTTTATAGTCAGGTATCAATGGAAATTAGAGTTTAGTATTAGAATTTAACACAGACGTATGTACATACATACATACATACAAATCTATAGCATACTATTGAAGTACAGTTGTGCTTGAAAGCTGCTCGATCAAACTATCAAGTGGACCAATTGGAAATATCGGCACTGATTAGTCCCGCTCCAATTGGAAACAAACTATTTACATATATGTTTCAAGCACTTATTGCATATGTGTTAAAGCACACACAGAAGAGATGAGAACAAAAACAAACTAATTACAATGTAAATTGCATTTGTTGTAATAAACAAATAAAACAAACAAACAAAACTGTTTAATTGTATTTAACTAAAGCCCTATGTTATTGAAATACCTCAACGGACAGCTCATATCGTATCACAGGCACGCTTTCAAAGACACGCAAAACTCAGAAGAAACAAAAAAAAAAAAGAAACTAAAGGGAAATTCAAAAACAAGGGCTCGGAAAATTCAATTGGAATCTGATTGGAAAACTAGACTGAAAATCGCACACTAAACGCTAACAACAACGATCGATATGAGCTGGCCAACACACACTCTTTCACACACACACACTCACACACACAGCCGCAAGCACAACATCCCAAATTCTGTTTCTGTTTTCACTTTAAATTTTCCTTTGAACACATTTAATCGATTGCATTTCTAAGCTCTACATACGCATTTATAAAGGATTATGCATACGAAAACTTATTCGTCAGTTAAGCTGGGCAGGATCTAAGCTAGGAAAACTCATTGCGATTTCCCTAAAAATGTTTTAGAAATAAAGCAGTGCTTCCTCATTCTGTGAGAGACTAGATCTAGCTCAGAATTCGATTGGATTCTCTCTGCTTACAGCTCGCTGATTGACTGATTGACTGATTGACCCTCGCTTGCAACTGGCTGCTGTGCTGCTAGCTCTGATTGCTCACTGAATACATTCACATTCACATATATATATTCACATTCTCACTCAGACACGCTAGTTATTCACTCGCACTCGTTTCTATATACTCGTATTGCATATGATTGGTTGTAACTACATCTTAGTATTGCTATGCGGAGCTGCTGCTCCTTTCCAAAATAATGTGTATCCTCAGGGATTCAGTGTAAATTGAGATATTTGCTTGTTTTTCTTGTGGTTGGCCCCTTCACAAAGCGAGAGAAATAGAGAGAGAGAGAGAGAGAGAGAGAGACAGAGAGAGTAGAGGCATTAATCTTTAGGTTGTTGTTGTTGCACATCGCAATGTTCTTTCTGCTTAGCATTAACACAATTTTCAAAAATTCAAACTAGAGGCCTTAAACTGACTTAAACAGAGTTGTGGTGGGGTGTTGGGCGTGGGGACAGAGAGAGAGAGACAGAGAATAAAACAGCGTCTGGTCGGAAATTTGTCTCGATTCCCGTTGTTAAGCTTGTCCAGAGAACTGCCCAATTTTCGATGCTCTACAGTTGATACTTGGGGCATTGCTGCCAGAGTTGCCAGCGCGCCTGCAGCTGCTTCCACAGGCGCCGCACAAGGTTGCCGCCGCAGTTGCCGTTGACACATGCCACGCCCAGGGCGCTCAGCAACTACTAAATCTTGCCGGGACTCTCCTGGCGCGCACTGTACCTGGGCTCGGTCGGCATCAGCGTGTCCGTCACCAGCTCATTGGGCGCCTCCACCATGCCCTTGGCGTGCGCCGCCGCCGTATCGCAGTCCGTCCGTCTTGAGATCAGCAGACGAATGTCCGTGTGCAGCGAAAGGCGGCCGGAGCGCGATGTCTGGAACCTGCGATGCACAAAGATCAAAGAGTTAAACATTTGACTAGAAATTAAAGTGAATCTAAGCTAGACAATGATTCACGGATTCCTTCCCAGCGCTAGTCAGTTTCGCTGATTCAAATCCTGGCTTGTTGAAAACTTTGAGTTTACAAATTTCAATTGCCCGAACCAAAGGCAATATAAACACGTCGGTATTCATTCGTCTGGGTTTTGAAGAACGGCTGGTATGTCGTGAAAAGTAGGAAAAGCCAGATGAGAAGCCATACCTGAACTTATTCAGCTGGCATGTCGTGTAACGTAGGAAAAGCCAGATGAAAAGCCAGGCTAGAAATTGTGTCGTGGCATGTTTTGGAAAAAAATGCAATCCTATCTCGACGTACTCAATGAAAAATCGGAAGAATATGTTGGAATAGCTTAAATTTTCTCCGAAACTTGAAACAGGTATTCGATGAAGGTGTTATATTTTCAAGTTTAACTCAGCCCGATTTCCCTGCCTTTTGCCCATTGCTATCCCATCAGGTTTACTGACCTCAGGTGTATAGAGTAGCGCAGTCGCTTCATCTGCTCGGCACTGATGAAGTGACCCAGTTTGCTGGTGGTGCTCATGGCTGTTGGGCTGCCCGGCTCCCTTTCCCGTTGTGGCTGCATGATGATGCCGCCGCCGCAAGGATTGGCGCCGGGCAGCTCCTCGGCGAGGATGCGCTGACGTATAAAGGTGCGATGCAGTGGCGGCATGTCGCGCATGTCGTAGGGTATGACAAACATGCGCACCACAGTGCCCATGGGATTCAGAAGCGTCGCTTGCACAGTGCCCGATCGCGGCACAAAGTAACCTTTGCGGGGCAATCGAATTTCGCACTGCAATTAGCCAAAAAGAATGGTTGTTAAGTGGATCAGGCAGAGCAGCAGCCAGTGCTGGGTAGGATACGCACCAGATAGGGCGTGCTGAGCGTCTCGCCGTGCAGCTCGTAGAAGTACGAGGAGGCCGGAATGGTCAGCTGTGTGGGACAGAAGCCACCCGAGGCGCCCAGCTGCAGACGAAAGCCGGCCACTTCGATCTTGGGCAGCAAACGCTTCTGCAGCAGCGACTCCTCCAGGTTGCCCAGCAGCGGTCGCCCCCCGAACTGTGTCGCTAGACGCGCTCGCGTCTTGAGCGGCGAGCCCGCCGGACTGCACATGCCCGACTCGAGATCCTCGTCCGACAGCTGCTCATCGGAGCCCAGCGAGCTGCGGTCCGACCGGTCGCTCAGATGTCGCGAGCGACGCTTGTAGAACGCCGCCTGCTTGGCGAAGCGCGGCGACACCGACAGCGCATTGGGCAGCGTCGGGGCCGAGTAGGACTTCTGCACGGGCAAATTGGACGCCTCCGGCGGTGTCAGCAGCGACTGTGATTGCGACTGCGTGTGGGCATAGCTCAGCGCTGGCGGCTCAAAGCAAAATGCCAGACCGCTGTCAATGGTAATGGGCGCCGAGCTGCTGCAGAAGATCGTCGTCAAATTGACTTTGGGCAGTGCCTTGCGCAGCAGCGGCGACAGCAACGGCGGCGGCGTCTCCCTGTCCAGCAAGCCGCCGCTGCAATTCAGTCGCAGCTGATTGGGCGCCTTTGTCGGCTGCCCCGTCAACGGCGGCAGCTGCTGCTGATAAAGTGGCTGCTGCTGCTGCTGCTGCGGCTGCGACTGCGACTGCGTCTGGAACTCCTGCAGCTTGAGCGGCACATGACTGATGGGCGTCTTGAACTGCACCACAATGCGCTCATCCATGGCACAGCCAGCCACATCTGTTGGCGTCTGACAGCGTTCCTGGCCAGCGTTCAGTGAGCAGCGATCAATGTTCGGCGTCAGCTTGGTCGATGCGCTCTGCGGGAATGAGAATGGGAGTAGGTTAGCAAAGCAAGGTCATTATGGTCATTATGCTGTGTCTGTTTACCTCTTCTAACTCCTGATCCATGCTGTTGTCGGCGCCCTCGCCTTCGTTATCTGCCACGTGACCGTTCGTTCCGTTCGACGGCAACTCCGTCTCCTTTGGAGTCGCCTTGCCTGCGCCAAAATTGTGCTGTGTCTTCTGGCGCTTGCACACCTGACACCCGCTAGTTGGCGCTGGCTTCAGCTGGTTGTTGTTCTGGTTTCGACTCTGGCCCTGTTGCACTATTCCAGCTTTGAGATCGTTAGACGCTGCTGCTGCCGCTGCTGCTGCTGCTGCTGCTGCTTTTGGTGTGGGCTTTCGGTTCTTTGGCGTGCGCTGTATGGCCTGGAGCAGCAGCTCGGCCTTGTTGCGCGGTGTGCCCACAATGAGATCGGAGCTGCTGAGGCTGCAGCTGGACGAGTCCTCCATTTCCGAGGCGCTAGTGTCGTCGCCGTCATCATTATCATCGCGCCCAGTCCTCGGCTCGGCATCGTCGGCGCTGCAATTGAGGCAGAGCAGGGTCTTCTCGCTGCCGCACTGCTGGCAGCTGCTCAGCGAGGTCTGTGTGCCCGTCGAGATCATCGCGATGCGACGCGGCGCCGTCAGCGTCAGGACCATTGCTTGCGTTTGCGTCTCCTCGTTGCCCTCGTCCATGGGTTCCATGTGCTCCAACTGATCCGAGGGCTTGCGTTCACGCTTCTTGTCCCGGCGCTGCATACGCTTGCGATACTTTTGCAGCTGCCTTTCCCGATGACCGTCCAAATCATCGCGAGCTCCGTCCTCCTCTGCCGCCGCTCCTGCCTCAGCTTCCCGCTCCTGCTGGTGCCTAGCTCCAAACTTATCACAGCTGCTTGCCGGCGGCGTTGTGCTGATGGCAATCCGTGCGCCCAGTCCGGTAGGCGTGGCCGCGCACATGCCCCCGCCGCCTGTGGGCGTGCTGGCCGCCGGCTCGGCTCGCTGTGTGCGCGGCTTGGACACCGCAGGCGAAACGTGCGGCAGGCCGCCGTTGAAGCGCGGAAGACTCTTGACGCAGACCGCCACGCTGAAGTTCTCGGCAATGTTCACGTGCGGAAAGTTGTGCACGTTCGCCTTGGCACTGAAGCCGCCATCGTTGTGGTTGCCATTCGCGCAGCTCAGGTCATGTGGCCGGATCCTGTAGAAGATGTTGAGACGCGGCCGTCGCGTCCCAGCCGCAGCCGAGCTCGTCGAGGCACTGTGCCCGGCCAGATCTCCGGCCGTGCTGCTGCCGCCGCCATTGGCAAAGATGACGCGCCCGCTGTCATAGACCGAGGGATCGCACTTGCGCAGCAGATCGCACCAGGCCACGATCTGTGAAAAGTAAAGCTGGCTGCGAATCGCGCTGCACAGCGACGGCAGCGTCATCGTCGGCGGCGGCACTCTGCGGGGATGGGCAAACAAAACAAGTTTCAGCATTAGCAAGAAACGAAGTACGCAAACAAGATTATGGAAATCAAATGAAACCGAATTTAACAATGCTTTGATCTCTAAACACATCAAGAGCGCCGCGTAGACCAGGACTAGGACTTGGCATTGGGATTGGAATTGGGATGGCAGCTAAAGTCTTAAAGTCAAACGGAAACATTATTCAAATCTCTACTGTCAGATTTCTACGCAATAGACATATGTGTGTACCATATATATGACGTGCATATACCACATATATATTTAAAAAAGTTCGATCTGACCAACTGATCTGACCATCTGATTAACGGACTGCTTAATAATTAATTAAGTAATTTGTGTTAATTGCACATTTCGAACTATTTTAATAGATATTTTCAGACATTTTAAACGAGATAAGCTGCTGCAGTAAATTTTAAATTTTAGTTGCGGGTGGAATAATAATTTCTAGAAACTGGAGATAGATATAAATTTAGAAGCTAGATGGAACTGGGCTTATGCAAAGTTGAATAGGTAAGAAATAAAAGTGCTCGACTTGGAGATAGGTTTTACTGCTGCCTGGTCCCTTAAAAACTTCCGTGTTTATTCCTTGAAGATTTGTCTGGAAAGCAGAATCACAACTGCATTATAATTCTAAGCTAAGTTTAGGCATTATGCTATGTTCTAAGGGAGGAACCCCGCTAACTTTTAAAGTATCCGACGCGACTCTTGATGCTGTCCGTTCAACAATATATATATAAATACTTTTTAGGATCGAAAATGCGTCCATCTGTGTTTGATTGGAGTAGTGCGGAACTGCGCATGGAGGCATGGAACTGATGAGTGCGGAAATGTGGCATTGATTCAGATTCAGGCAGATCGGAGCGCTGCATCGTAAAGTTGTCATGGATTGTTTGTTGTTAAGGATTCTTTGAAAATTGAGTTATTGCATGAAACAACTGTAGTTCGTATGGATTTGTATCTTTACAAATTCAATCTGCGATTTTCAAGATCGTTCAAACATGAACTACAGCCTAATATGAGAACTTTGTTGATCGGCATCACACTTACTTCTCCTTGCCGCTGATGATCCACTGCTCCAGCAGAATCTTGTGGCCAGCGGGGCCCAGATACACCTCGATGCAGACGGGCTCCCGGCGCGCCAGGATGGCCTCCATCTTCATGCAGTGGGCACGCCAGCGGGAACACTGCAAGAACGAAACAGAATATTAGATAATTGCATGTGGAAGAGATGACTCTGGATTACTCACGGTTATATTTACGTAAGACATATCACAGAAATGCTCCTCAGCGTCGGCAGACTCGCCCTTGGCGAGGCCCATCTTTCTGAGGAACTGATCACAGTGTGGCCCGTGTTTGGGCCGCGTGGTGCAGCTGGAGCTGGTTCCGTTTCCGCATCCGGCTCCAGTTGCGTTGTTGCTGGCAGTGGCTGTTGATGTGGCTGCTGCACCTCCTAATCCTACTCCTACTCCTCCTACAACTGCTACTCCTCCTCCTCCTCCTCCCAGCCCGTATCCTCCTCCGCCCCCTGGTGATCCGCTGCCGCCAGGCATTGTCCGGCTGCAGTTGTAGTCCAGCAGACTGGCGGCACTCACAGTTGTTGGTGCTGTTGTCGGCGAGCCAAAGCCAAGGGCCAGGCTCAGGGGTCGCGTCTCGGTGGACACAGCGGGTCCGCCGCGCAGACAGGTCGTGGCTAGCGATTGCAGCGAGTGCAAAATATTATCAGAGCCGGAGCCGGGTGAACTGGCAGCACTCGAGTTATTTGTAGCTAGCTGCTCTCCAGCTGCTCCCCCTAGACCTCCTCCGCCTCCGCCTCCGCCACCTCCTCCAGCACGATTCAACATGACGCGACGCACAATCTCAAAATCGCCCCGATCCGCATTCAGCTCATTAATCGCCAGTGACACGAGCTCCGGCTCGGCACTCATAGTCTGCGCCGCCGGCGAAACCTGCCGCAGCTGGCAGAGCTTCTGCGTCCAACGTTGATGCGTGGCACTGCTGCTGCTGCTGCTGCTGCTGCTTGCGCTGGCACTGGCACCATAACCATATCCCTGTCCCTGTCCCTGACCATGTCCATAGGCGAGCCCGTATCCGTGAGCATGGGTATACGCGGAACGGGGCGTGCCACTTGCCATGGCTGCATACGGATTCGTTGTTATGTTGATGGCTGCCCGCGATGTGGAGGGGCGTGGCGAGAGGCGACCACTGCTAGTCGCTGGCGTCACCTGTTGCTGTCGCTGCTGCTGCTGCTGCTGCACTTGGTACTCATCATCGGCTATGGGCCTGCCCTCCAGTATAAGCGAGGCCAGGCCCAGCACAATCGAGTTGTAGTTGCTCTGCTGTGCTGCCGCCGTCGATGCAGCAGCTGCTGCTGCTGCTGCTGCTGCTGCAGTGCCGCCAACAGCAGCTGCTCCATTCTGTGCCAAGCCAGCGGCTGGCGGTGAGTTGGTGACGCTAGTGGGTATCATGTGCTCCTCCCTCTGCTGTCCGCTCAACTGAATTCTCCCGGCGTATACTTCTGCTACTGATCCTCTTCCCCTTCTTTTAGATGTGGTTGTCGTCCTCTCGCACCTGCACCAGAAGTACACTGCAGAAGAAGAAAGATGTGTGTGATTAGCGATGGAATTGAATCTTATGGCAGGCAGCATAAACCAAGTCCTTTCGGTTCTTCAAGGTCCTCGGACTATGTACATACATATGTATATGTCTCCTATCAAGTATTACACGAAATGGCATTGGCTGCACTCACAGCTTGAATGTCAGCAACTATTGATGGAAACTGGGTCACCTGAGGCACCCTGTATGTCAAATTGAATTATGCTGTGAAGGTCCTCAGCATATACAAATGTACATTGATATGTGCACACATTTTACATAAGCTAATGGAATTTACTTTGGCCCAGATCCTGCGTTCTACAGACGGCGACACACTAACACGGCCTCAATGTGGCCCCCAAAAAAGCAGGCAACCAGGTCGTTACTTAATCAGGCAGCTGTTGCCATGTCACAGCACAGAACAACAGAGTGGCAGCGTAAGGGGGGCGGGCAATGCATTTGTGAATGCAGCTTTAGCAACACATGTTGCTAACGCTATGACGTCATTTGGCACTAAAAGTCAGGCTTAGCGCGCAACATGCAGTTTTTCTTCTTATAAACAATTTGCAACGTTTCGAAGGTCAAGCATCAGCAGAGGGGGGAGGGGGGGGGGGGGCGGCGGCACTAAAAAAGTGCTCAAGTCGCGCTTGGCAACAATTCTCAAGCACACAACGAAAACAGCTGTTCGTATTTGTGTTTGTTTGTTTTTTTTTTTTCTTGTTTAGGCATGTGTTGCCCAACGTTGGCAACATGTTGCCGAAACCAACACAAATGTCAGAGAGCACAAACGCGCCCTCTCTGTCGCGCTCGCATTCTCTGTCTGTCTCAGTCAACTGGTAAACATGTTTGTCTTTACTCTTGCTTTTGTTTTTTGCGTTTCTTCTTGACCTGCATACACAATATATAACTAGCGCGCGAGACGAGGCCTATTTGTCTGTGTATTGGTGTATACACATATATACAAAGAGAGAGGAAGAGAGGTGAGTATATGCCGTGTGTGTGTGTGTGAGTGTGTGTGTATATGTGCGAGCGCTATTAGAAAACATATGATTTTTGTGTTGGCTGGCTCACAATCAGTTGGCAATGTTTGCTCACACGTATTTGAGCGTGCATGTGAGCGTAAGTAGTTTTGTTTATGGTCGCTCGCGCACATTTACATACATATACACTTGGCCCACAATAGACACGCATTCACACACACACACACACACACACACACACACACAGCAACAACTAAACGTACGAAAATGAGGGCAAGCGAATGGAACGTAACAGTCCAAAAAGCAATAACCGCAACAGTAGCAGCCGTGGAGTTTAATAATATTTGATTACATTATCGCTGTTTCGCTTTTATTTTATTTTATTTTTTTTTTTTTTGTATAAATTATGTTTTCTTTTATTTATGTACTTATCTTATGTACCATAAATATGTATGCATATACAATAAATGTGATTGGGCACCAGGAAAACGGCAGATATAAATCATTTCAAGATATGACGCAGTTGAAATGCTCTACAAATTGTTGCGGAACGTAACAAAATTGAACGTGGCAGTTTGTTAAGGGAGTGACAGAGAGAGAGAGAGAGAGTGTGGGAGAGAGTGTGCTCTGCTAGCTGAGTACGAGTGTTAACTGAACGGTATTTTGGCAGACCGCAACAAAACTTGATCAATTGCACTTTTTGTTTTCATTGTGAACTAATTAAATTTCGCTTTGGTTGCCGTCCTTGGCATGCTTTTGATTTTGCAATAATCTGAGTCTGTGTGTGTGTGTCAATGTGTACATATGTGTGCATGTGTGTGTGTGTTTATCTATGTGTGTTCTTTAGTTTTGCTGAGTGCGTTCTGCTTATTCATTGCACATTTTTTTTGAGGCGTGTTGCAAAATTTGCATTTATGTATTTGATTGAGATGTGTGTGCGTGTGTGTGTGTGCGCCGTTATGCAAATTGCGGAAAGGAAGAAAACAAAACAAAACAAAGAGCTGTGGCAACAGTGAAAGGTAAACTATGTGCACATGCATACACATACATTAATGCTAGCTAATGTCGCCGCTAGATGGCGCTGCCGTCAACTGCCAACAAAAACCAGTTCACAATTGTATATTTGAAAAGCAAAAAGTGTTGCAACTTTGAGAAACAAGTTCCGACGCTGTCGTCGCCTTTCGCTTAGCTGCTGCACCACCACCCCCCCCCCCTCCCTCCAGTGCTGCTTCCTTTGCATTTGGATCTGCCATTTGATTATGAAATGCGCCAAAGGCAACGGATGAACCGAACCGCTGCCGACGTCGGCGAATGCAGCGAAAAGCGTTCAACGATATGGAAAAGTTTTCAAACATGTCATCCATTTAGTCTGTTTAGTCACCCCGCCAAATGCGTCATGACATCTGCATATACACACACACACGCACACATGCATATGCATGCATGCATGCATGTACAGGTATAAAGTTAACAGGTATTTATATTCAAGAACTCTTGCATTTAATTGTCAATTCATTTTGCACAAATGTGTCATATATGTCTCACAAACGACAACGACGCATCGCAACGTAATCAAGACAAGTCGGACGGCCATATATCGCGTGATATGTCACACAATGTATGTGCACATATATACATATATATGTATACAGATATCTATTGCTATATATCTTTATTATTTTCACTCATATTGAATGCCATTTTACACGCGTTACCCAATAATTACACAGGCATGCGCTTGCATGTACACTCATACACACACACACACATATATATATATATATATATATGTATATATATGTATATATATTTATGTAGCAGATGACTTTGATTAGACAATAGATCTTTTGAAATCGCTGTTGACCTCGTTGTCGACCTTACAAAGTACCCAACTATCTATCTAACTATCTATGTACATATACATATATATGTATGTATGTACATATATGGGGGTGGGGGTACACGTGAAGCCACAGCCCTCTTTGCCCTCTTTGCCGCCTCTTGGCGCTTCACAGCTGAGCCACCGTTGCGTTTCAGTGGGCTAGTCAAAGGGGCGCACCTTCGGCTATGAGTTCGCTTTGAGGTGCAATACATAAACAACATCTATGTATGTGCACACACACACACACACACACACACACACACACACACACATGCATGTCAACATATCATAGGTAAGACAGCGACTCAAGGTTTTTAAATCAAAAAATAAAGCAAAGAAAACCAAAGAAAACTTAAAAATGTAAATGGGTATGAACGACTAACAGTTGCCACGCAAAAAACATTAATTAAAAAGCTGTTTTTTTTTTTCTTTGTTAAACAACTGTTATCTGTTCGTCAAATTGTTATTTGTCGCGTTTCTATAGTTAATTGTCTCTACTAATTGCAATTACATTTCAAGTTTCTGCATTCGATATACGAAATCAGCATCACTTACCTTTTGTAACTTTGTTAAAATTCCATTATTTGTGCTTTGTGGGCTGCAATTAGAATGGGAGAATAAATGTGTGTTAATTGATTGGTATTATTAATTGCTGAATAAAGATATATAGACTTGCACATAATGTGGCATTGTTCAGATAGCGCCCATTAAATGGAGAATAAATTAATTATCATAGCCAAGCACAAATGTTAGAGATTGTCACACTGAGACACCCTGTTTCTTACACAATGCTCCGTCAAAGAGTTACACGGTTTTGCGCGCTCTCTCTCTCTCTCTTACACAACTACTCTCCCTTGCACACATACACATACACACATACAGAGCGTCACTCACATGTGCGCAGTAAATGGAAAAAGCAAAAACAAAACCTCACGGTAAATTGTAAACAAATACAAGGCAGCAGCAGCAGCAGCAGCAGCAGAAGCAGCAGCAGCAGCAGAAGCAGCGGCAGCAGCAGAGGTTGCGCTTACTTTTGCTCTTCCTCTTTGTCTGTAACGTGAGCACGTGAGTACATCTCGCTTCAACGAATGGGAGGGGGCCGTCTCCAGGAGAGAGGTGAACAGTGGACAGGACAACAAGACGCAATGACTTACAAGTGTGTAAGTGAGTGTGTGTGAGTGAGTGAGTGTGAGTGTGTGTGTGCTTGTTTTATTTTTAGCCAAAAATACAAAATGCTGCCGCTTTGCAAATTGAGAGCAAACGCACATTCACATTCAGAACATTGAGTTGACGCAACGTGTCGAGCAGCAGTAGAAGGAGGTGGAGCAGTAGGAGGAAGAGGAAGAGGAGCAAAAGCAAATGACCGCTCGACCGAGCCAAGTGGACGGAAAGCAAAGCAGAGCCAATGCCTCCTGCGCATTGCTCGATTTTATTTTTACTTGTTATTCTTTCGCTTTCTTACTCTATATTTGATTATGGAATACCAACAACATTTTCCATTCGTTTTTGCCATTCTGCGTCTCGCACACACACACACGCACACATGCACAGCTCTCTGCTCATACATTACAAACTGCGCACGTATAAAATTACACGCGATGCGACGAATTTTTGTTTTTTTTTTGTGCTCTTTCTTGGGCTTTTACAGTTTTACATTGCCTCAATCAAGCGACACCAACAAAACGAAAGCAAACATATTAAGCATATCTATATGTACATAATATATACCCTGTGCATGCATGTATTGGTCTCTGTCTCTGTGTGTGTGTGTGTGTATAAGCTAACAACAGCTGTTTGCAATCGGTTTTGTTTTGTGTTTTCATTTCGCGGCTGGCTCTCATTTGATTTTCCATTTTTGGGCATTCTCTTATCTATAAAGCACACGTATGCACACACACACATTAGTAGAAAGCTGTATTCAATCTAATTGGCATATAAAATAAAAGTGCAACTGTAAACTCGTGGGGTAACGGTTCCAATCAGTGGCTCGACATAATCTAGGCTTGAACCGGTTCGCATCTAACCTTGATATTTCAGCCACTGCTCGCGTATCTTTGTGTGCGTGTAGCTGGTGTTGCGCAACTGAGAGCTCTATATCTAATGTTCTTATCAACTGACGAGTTACACAAGGCCAGCGACAGACGCTGTACACGAGTTAACGAACAGCAGCTGCTGGCTAAAGCTCTAACTTACAACAACTGCACGACGATGTGGTTACTCTTGTTAACACCTGTGCCGTTACAGCTGATTGTGGCGCAAGTTGGCAGCGCCGCGCCTCAAAGTTGACAGCTTGATAAACGATCCACGTTTCATTCGCGTGCGTGTGTGTGTGTGTGTGTGTGAGCGAGCAAGAAAATATGGTAAAACGACGACTTAACGCCACAATTAGAAAATGTGTGTCAATTATAATACAAAAACTCAAAACCGAGTATTTTTCCTGACTTCAACACACACACACACTCAGTCTCTCAAAGAGAGAGAGAGAGAGAGAGACACACACACACACACACATGCTCAAGTAATTTGAGGGAGTGGAGCGAGCGAACAAGCGGGAGCGATATTTGAATTACTTTTCTGTTATTTATTTGTTATACAAGCGCAACGCCAACGCTGAAGGGGGCGTCGCATTGTCTCCCAGAGTGTATATCTGTAGGTGTGTATGTGTGTGTGTGTGTGTTTGTGCGATCTGCAATTATTCAACTTTGACGCTGACTGAAAAGCTTAACCGCGTGTGTCATTTTTATATTATATATATATATATATATACATACTCACACTCACACACACACACACATACATGTCTGCACATATGTGGGTGGGCAAGTTTAAAAGCTTTTTAGCTATTACGCTGTTATTGCCGTTCTTTGCCAGTGTATTACGTCACCAACACATGCGCAACGCACAGCTGAGTGGCTACAGCGACGTCACATAGAACGCATACATACACGCATGCAAGCGCGTGTAAATTAAACAATACATACATTCAAGCACACATACACACACTCACACATATATATACAAAGAGTTATACAAATACAAACCTTTATCTGAAATATGTAACTTTTAAACACGCTTTTGCTGGCAATGGTAGCTTTCAAAACTTTAGAATTTGCTCAATTTTGAATTCTGCTTTGCATTCTGCTTTGCAACTGTTCTTTGGGCTGGCATAATTTTAACTCTTTACTGCGTTTGCGGTTTTTTGTCGCCGTTGCTGTTGTTGTTGTTGCTGGTGTTGTTGTTGTTGCTGGTGTTGTTGTCGCTGATGATGTGTTTGCTTTGTTTTAGTTCTTAGCGGCTGACAACGGCAGCAGCATCCCAAATTTGAACGTAGCATTTGAATTTTCAACGGTTTTGCGTTGCGTTTTCAACGTGAATTGAATCGAATCGAATTGAATTGAGTTAAAAAAGGAGAACGTTCGCTTCACGCATACACGCTCACAGAAACGCAGAGACACGCACACACATTAACAAACAAAAACGGCTTGGGTATCAGTCTCTCTCTCTCTCTCTCTCTGGCTCTGTCTCTATTTATTTTAGTGTGTCTACTCCACACGAGAACGCGAAACAAAACATAAAAGAAAACAAACGTCAGCAGGCAACTGCGAGAGTGGTAAACTTTGCACTGGGCACTTGGGCGACTGACGAAGCGCACAAAAAATTATTGAAAAACTTGTTCACTGCGTTTTTTTTCTTTTTTTTTTTTGATATTTGGCTGTTGAGTTGTTCTTGGTTTTTTTTTTTCGTTGTATAATTTTGTTTTGTTTTTTTTTTGTTTTTTTTAGGTCTCTTGCACTTTTGCTGTGCTGCGCCAACAGCTACCCAAGTTTTGCCTTGCTTCGTCAGAGCTTTTGCGTTGGTGTCTCTCGCTATTGGACCTGGGACGTTTTGATGTTGTCGCTTGCGCTGTCGCTGCTTGAATGAACGTGTGCGCTGCCAGCAACTTTCTAAAACAGCTGAGCGAGCCTCAGCTAGCCAGCCAGCCAGCCAGCCACACGACGGCAGCAGCGAAACACACGCCAGATAAATACGTATGTATGTACAATTCGCTGCTTGCTTTGTTGCTTATATACAACGCGAACGTGACTTATATACTTGTATGTGTGTTAGTGTGTGTGTGTGTGTTATGTATGGAAACTACGTCGTTCATTTATTTATGTACTCATTTATGTAGCTAGTTTTTTGGCATAGCAATATGTCGCAGACGAGACACGTTGTTGGCAACATATGCATGTTGCTAAGGATTGTGAGTCAACAATGTTGCTGCGCATGTATACAAAAATCATCTGGAATTTCTACTCGGGTGAGAGTAAGAGAGCACACAAATAAGAAGCAGAAATCCAAAACATATGCGCGACAAGTAAATAAGAAATGAGTGCCTATGTGAATGCACATGTATGTATGTATGTATGTATGTATGTATGTATGTAAATATAAAGGCAAATTGTTGGTGGTGTTCGTGATAGCGTTTCAATAACAAAACCAAACCATGCAGACAACGCGACACACACACATACACAACAAGCTGGCACATACAACGAACCCGTTTCCATATGTTTGATGGCTGTTGCTGCTGCTGCTGCTGCTGCCGCTGCTGCTGCTGCGCTGCTTCTGTCGGGTCGTTAAGTGCTGATGTTGCTTTTGCTTTATGTACTCATGTTTGCATGTATGTTTCTGTGTGTGTGTATGTACATGGGCAGATTCTATTTTCTCAGTATGGTAGCGTGTGCATCGGTGTGTGAGTGAGTGAGTACTTGTTGGCTCACTTGCTTTGCAAAGTAAATAAACATCGCAAAAACGCATGCGTCGCCGTCAGCGACCCAGACAACAACGGCAGCAGCAAGGTTCGATTAATGTTTGTTTGCTTTATGATTTCTTTGCTTTCTTGCTGCGGACTGCATCAACCTCCTTATCAGTAACACCCGCACACACACACACACACACACACACACACACACACGCATGCATCCCGTATGTACACACATGCATGTACATAAGAAGTGTGTACATAATTTTTATTTTTCTCATCAGCCCGCTGATATGATTTGACTTGATGCTGCTTTACAGAGCCGTGCACACAAATACAATCACTTGTCAGAGAGAGGGAGAGAGAGAGAGAGCGAGAGTGAGAAAGAGAACAAACTTTAATGACCCAAGAAGCCAAAGTCGGAGGACACACGCCAGGGACGCGACAACAAAGACTCGTGCAAAGACTTCGCACAAACAAAGAAAACGCTCGCCGTCTTCTCCTGTCTGGTTCTGGTCTGGCCCGCTTTCCTCCTCTCCGCACAAGACGCACACACAGACACACACACACACACACACACATACATACATATATATATACATATATATATGTATATATACACGTACTTATTATGTCTGTCTCCTCCTGTGCCAAAACAGGAAAGCAAAGAAATTGTTGAACCCTTGAATTCGGGATTTGTCTGCCGCACGCACACACACACACGCACACATACACACAAACATAAGCGCACACCTACAGAGAAAGAAGTCATAAGTTTTAATACGAAGTGTGTGCATATTGGATTTCGACCCTGCTCTCAAGTATTTTAAATTAAAACTAAACGAGTTCCAATTGTCTCTGCTTTTCATAAGAAAAAACTCCATTTAGATATTTCTCATTGCTGATATGTTAAATATTTAATTCAAATATATATTTCAAAAGAGTAAAAACTGTTTCCTCGAGGCTGACCTTGCTCAAAGGTCGAATCTTTTCTGAGTTCGCAGCCAGGGCAAACATATTCTTTCCCTAAACTCGACGGAGAGGTCCGTCTTATCGAGCTCTATGGACAGATAACAAGCAAGTTTTCGACAAATATTGACTGGCTCGGTATTTTTTTCTCATGTTACGTACTTAGTAGTACAAATAAAACGTGTTTCTCCCAAAAAAAAAAAAAAAAAAGATGGGAAAGAAAAAACTCCGAGCGTAGTTCAGGCAACTGTTTGTTCCACGAAATCGTTTTCTAAAATTTTCCATGCTTCTTAGTCCAATCACAAAAACAACAAAACCCAACGGTTAAGAAGGTAGCTGCTGGGCGAAAAGGTGCGTCGCATATCTCACAGCTGACGAAAAGTGGACAGCCCCAACGAAATCGGTCGAGGGACAGCAAAAGAAAGATGAAGATGAGGTCACGCGAACCACAGACTCGCGACTGGAACCGTACATTCGACTTACATCCAATTAAAACTCTTCGAGGGGCAACTCTAATTAAGCCGAGCATGTTAAATAAATGTATCTTATTGTCAAAGTGACAAGAGCATGACTATATGAATACCTCTATTAGATATATAATTATATATATATATAATTAATTTTAATTTATAGAGCATCTAATTATTACACATAGATAACATACATATCCTTTACGCTTTTTTATCATACAAAAATCTACCTTCATCTGCATCTACATACATATACATATATGTACCCATTGGACAACGGTATTACAATGGGAGACATCAGCAGTGTCTCCACACCGCACATTGTATACTTATCCAAAAAGCAAGTTAATTGCTTATTTTCCACTAACATTATTGGGCACACATTGTTTGGTGCCGTTTCAGTGTTTGTGTGTGTGTGTGTGTGCGCATGTGGGGGGCCATGTCAAAAATGTTGCTGGCTTGCGCTCTCGTTTCTGTTGTCGCTCTCGCGCTCTCTCTCTCTCTTTCCCTCTCTCACTGTCAGCACTAAAGCTTCACAGCTGCTGCTGTTGATGAGTGCTGAGGCGTAAGAGGCAGATAACTGTTGATAAAAGGGCAGCGCTTCGTTCAGTGTGTGTGTGTGTGTGTGTGTGTGTGTGTGTGTTTATTGCTTTGCATGTGTGCATATGTTTGTATGTGCGCAGTTGTTTTTATTAATTGCTGCGATCAGCTGTTTTGACAATCAAACGGTTAAAAGCCTTACGAAAGCAAAGATACAATAAACAATAATAAAACTAACAGCAGACGACATATTTAAATGTTTATGAACATATTAGTTAAACAGTTTAACTATGTCACTATCAGGAGAGTCGAGCTACTTTGTACGGGCTTGTGTGTGAGTGTGTGTGTGTGTATGTGTGGGTGCCTTATTTACCATAACTTATAAATTATAGAGCGCTTACTTTTGTTATGGTCCGCACGTTGCTATAAATGTGAAATTGTATAGAACGCAATTGTTGAAATTGTTGTCGATTGCATGTGTATAAGTGTGTAAGTGTGTGCTGTCTGTAAATAGGTGAGCATGTGTGTGTGTGTGTGTGTGTGCTGCGACCATTGGACTGACGCTTGAGATTGATTGTGAGCAAATATAGACGCTCGGCAGACGATTGTTATACAAGGGACATATGTATGTATGTATGTATGTATGTATGTTTGTAGCTGTGTAAATATGCTTGTGTATGTAACTAAATATATGGTAACTATATACAGACAGTTACATACATACATACACGCGGACATGTGCGATGTATACTTATGGGGATCGCTCCCCCCATACCCCACCCCCACCCCCATCATCTAGCAAATGCGCAGAATTTTCCTCAATTTCCGCACTTTTCAAGTGAAACAATAACTTTACAGCAAATGTTTGATATGATATGATTGTATTGCGTTGTTGATAAGATTCTCGCATTATTCTATTCACACATTAATTTGGCACCAACAGCTGCCAAAGCTCTGGCAGCGTGGGACGAGCATGAGGGGGGCGAGACGCAGAGTTGCCTTCCTATAAATGGTTTTTATAATCTACTGCGCAAAATCTCTTAATACATTGTTCAGGGTCGTTTTTGTTACAACAATAATCTTATTTCCGATCTAAATGCCAAAGACAAATTCAAATTTAAATTCCAACTTCAAGTTAACATAAATCAGTTTTCATGAACGCATTAAATTGTCATTCCATTAGTTACAGATTCTAATAAGAATATTCTTTGCAGCAGAGATGATCATAACACGTAATACGAGGGTCTGGATCGAGTGATTGTACAACGAATTGGACTATATAAATATCCACATGCATGTATATATATATATATGATTTACACCCATATATGCCACTTTGTACATATGTATGTGTGTGTGTGTGCATGTTCCAAATGCGGGCAGTGAGTCACTTGAATATAAGCACATAATAATACAAAAAAGAAAAAAAAAACTAGCCAAATAGAGGAAGAGTATGGGCAGAAAAAAAAAACATTGCCTCTGAAAATATCACGTAAAATTGAATTTTGATCGCCACGAGTCGAGTTCAAGAAGCAGAAATCATCTCATCTCTTCTCGTGCGATGACTCCATGCCGTTTAAATTTGTAGACACAACAAAAATAAATCTACATACATACATACATACATGCATACATACGTACATGTGTATGTATGTTCATATCTAAACAAATTGTTTTGTGCTAACGTGTTTTGGAGAAATTGTGTGCATGCTAGTATGTGTGTGTGTGTGTGTGTGTGTAGAAATGAAACGCAAATTCCGTCAAAGCAATGCACACGAATATCAATCAAAGCGAAACCGTCCAAGTCTGTCAGCCCCCCCCCTCTCGTAGCAGAAGGCAACAACAAGAAGCATTGTTGTAACTGTTATTGAAGGGTGCCACGAGACATCTCCATACCAATTCACCTCCACCCATCACACTGTCCACCACACCCCTCGCACACAACTCTCTTCCTCTGGCAGCAATATAACATAAACTGGCGTCCATCAGCTGTCTACATTTTGGTGGGTTCAATGGCTCTCTGGCAACGCTCAAATGTTACGCTCTTTATTTTCTTATTTTCTTTTTGTTTTTTGTTTTTTTTTTTTTTTTTTGCGCACACGTTGTCCAAAGTCATTCAACCCAAAAACCAAATAACGTAAAATAAAACGCAAAAGGAGGCGAGCGACGGCTGCGACAGCAACGGAACGGGAAGCAGAAGCGGCGGCGGGGTCACTGTGCGCGCTCTCACTCGCACTCTCCCCTCTTACTCCCTGTTAGCTTAGCGCCCGTTAAACAACGACAACAACAACAACAACAACAAGTAGCAATGGGGTAAAATTTGAAAATATTGCGTAGCGTGGGTCTCCAAAACGAAGGCGATGCTTCTGAAAGCTGCTGCCGTTGGTCAGTGTGACCACCCCCTCCAAAAAGCAAAAGCAAAAGCAACTTGGTGCACACGACCTCAGGATGTGCTTCATTGAAACTTATTTAGAGCACTGAGCAAATGACAGATCAACTCGAACAGAGACGGCAACACTTTTCACTTCGCATATGTCTCTTTTTACATGTGTATGTAATGTAAGTAGATGTGACTGGAACTACGCTTAACAGTCTGTTAATTTCAATGGCTGTTAATCAGATTTCATACACACACACATACATATGTACATCGTACTTTTCTATTCTCTTTTCAGCATTTCATTTTTATCAACTAACAGGAGTCTGAACTGTGCACAGACCTTCTCCACCCCCATTTCGACTGCTAGATAATCACCAAAAAAGCCGCACGGGCACTGGACTGTCTGACAGCATTTGATAAGCTAGTCCACAGTACGGTTTACTTACCGTTATCTGGCCCGCAGGCCCATATAAAACGTATCAGCTTTGATAATTTGTGACTCAGGGCTTAGGACAAAAACAAAATGAAAAAAATAACCCAAATTAACAATATTCAACGACTACGCAATACCCTGTATGTTCAAGAAACACACAAGAACTTAAATAATTCGAATTATAACATAACTTCAAAATTCTTTTCCAAGCACACTTAATGAAACGTTAAATTGAAATAGCTTTCTTTTAATTTCACCCCAGAATGTTAATCAGTCTTATATGATTAAATTGTTGGTTTCTATAAGTGTATTCGAAACTTTAATTTAATTACATTTTCCCATTGATTTTTTTTAGAGATATGTCAAGTAGATTAAGCCCACATCAAAAGCATTGTGTACACACCAAATATAACCCTCTATATATTCACTTTAACATATGCAGTTTTTTTTTTAACAGTTTTTTCGACGTACAGTCCTGTTTACAGAGATCTTGATTATGACGTCACATATTGCCCAACTAACATGATCACTAGAGGGCATGTTGTTGACCTTAACAATATTATTTGGCTTTTGGCATAATGTTTGCTGATCAAATTTACTTCATATTGGATTTACGCATTATAAATGTGTGCAAAGGTATGCAAGCTGAGTTGGAAAAAGATAAATAATTAGCGATAAGCAAGTGACAAATATGCCAGTAGGGCATAAGACTAAGTTAGTTAGATAAAGAGATTACAAACATTCCGTTGCAGCAAAATGTAGGATTAGAAAAACCACCTCATCTGACTTTATTTACTCCGAATTGCTATGAACAAAATGCACGTGTCTTTTTCAAGTACTAAAGAGCTTTAATCGCGATTAATTAATTGGTCAAAGCTCAATTAGAGAACTGTTAATTGTCAATTCGCGGGCTTACCAATTAGATTCAAGCTTCTAAGCCCCGTTGAACTGTTAACTCAGCATTTACATGCTCTCTCCCTCTCTCTTTAAAGATCTTTTAGGTGTTGTACCGTTCGTAAATATGTATGTATGTACGTTTGTCAATCACTTGCAGTATTAAATCAATATATGTATGTGTGTCTGTATGTACATGCACACAAGCACACTCGTACTTCTTGTGTAAAGCATATTTCTTTGTTGTCTGCCCGCTCAAAAGGAAATAAAATAAAGCTCCATAACGCAAACGAATAAAGTCAAGGATACACAGCGAGAGCGCGTTAACAGTTTCTTTGTCTGCGCGCCGCTGACGGCAGAGAACAAGACGACCCAACAAAGACAGCAACCAGAAGAGAAAAACCCCAGCAAAGCAAGCGACGGCGGCGACGGCGACGTCGACGTCGAGACTCACACAGCTGATTGAGACGGCGACAACAAAAGCAAACGTGTGCGCTGCAGCGGGTGCGGGTGAATTTGGATTTAGATGAAAAGCGGCGGGGCTGCTGTCAACAAAAAAAAAAAAAAAAAAAAATAACAAAATGAGACGCAGCGAGACGTGAATTGAAATCATTTATGTACTCTTGTCCATATGAAGAGTAGCCCCCATATACTAGATATATCTAAAATCATACTTGTACATACATCCGTGCATATGTAAGTGTAGCGTTGCTATGCGATGTACATAAGTACGCACGTTCTGAGCACAGAAACAAGTTTTAAGCTCAACAACGCAATCTTCAAACTTCTCTTGTGAAATTCGAATTCTAACTGCCATAAATTTCGCTCATATCCAAATGCAAATGTATGTATGTATGTGTGTATATATATACATGTACATATTCAAAGTAATTAATTGGTATTGGTTGCATTTATAATATATTAATTGTAGTAGGTATACACTTTCACAAGTACATATGGAGATGAGCACACACATACATACATACATATGTACAAGGCGCAAAACCAAGTGAAATGTGCAATCAAAATGGCCGACTTACCGTTTAACAAAACGAATAAATAGAAGGGCAAAGAACTTGCAAGGTTGCCACAGCTATTCAATTATTATTGTTGCTGTTTGCCAATTCAATTTGTTGCTTTAATTAGACATTATTGCAGTTCAGTTGGGGTTTCACATAATAAATATTGATTTGCGTTGATTTGCTTCAGATCCGTTGCTGCTCCTGCTTCCGATTGCGACTGTTGTTATTTGCCTTCACTCCCAATACACGCACACATAAACACATGTACGCACACATACAGCGACGCCGACGCTGCTGCTGTCGCTCAGCTGTGGCTTTGTTGCTGCTAATGCCGCTAATGCTGCCCCCGCGCCAGCTCACAGCCGACAACGGCAAATTTTCGCACATCGATTATTTGGCTCCGTTTTGAACATTATCATTGCATGCAACTTGAATTGAATTAATATTTATTGCACGCACACACAAACAGGTGCACAAGTCAACAAAGAGCGCTTTTTACATAATACGAAATGGACAGAGGCGAGGCCCAAGCAGCAGGCGTCGTTTTTTTTTCTTACTGCATTGCACATTCTGTTTCTCGCATTTTGCTTTCTGCTTTCCTTGAACTTATTATAGCGTATACATAATGCATACATACATGTGTATGTAAGTATGTATGTAACTGTAAACGCAAGCAGCACTGCAAGTTTATTGGCAAACAAAACGGAAACCGAAAAATAATTAAAAGAAAAAAACGGCAATTGTTTTCTTTATTATGCACTTGTCTCCCGCACTTTTGTTGCACTTTTCTTTTATCACCCCTACTCATCCACTTCACTTTGTTGTTGTCTTTTTTTGGGAAAATTGATCGTTGCTGCTAGAGCGAATGCCACAACAAATTGAACCACAACCGCTGCGGCAAGCCACGAAAACCAATTTCGCTGCAACAACAACACTTTCACCGCCGTTTGGAGCGCATTTGGCTGCTGCTCTGTGCATAATTACACGCGCACATTCACACACACACACACTCGATATAACTGAAATTACAGATTGTTTATAATTTCCACATAATTGTTTATTATTTCGATATGCCTTCGTCTACCGCATACTAAACAAGCACAAACCGATACAAATCGATATGTATTTACAGCCTTAGTGCGATGATGGCGAAAAATGTGGTGGCTAAACGATAGACAGATAGCAAAGAAAACAGTGTTGTCCCATTAAATAATATTACTCTGCAGCTGATTGGGAATCACTGAAAAGGGCGCCTGTTTGAAAATTGTGCAAAGATATGTTTTGGTTTGAAATTCCAGGCCAAAATATCTTCTATTTTGAAATGTATTGACAATCTACTTGTAGATGCACCTTAAAAAGCTTAGCACATTTTATTTAGTAAATTAATTACTGTTGTATTTGTATACGATCCTTAAGTTCAATAAATGAAAGTTGTTTCTTTTATAAATCTACTTATGCACTTTTTGGTTTAAAATTGAAACACATAGATTACTAAGTCATTAGCTATAGATTGTTTAACTAAAACCCATCAAATAGAGCAATTATTAATATTTCAAATGCTACAATTAGTTTGAAACACAAGAACAAAATACACATACATACACATACATATTAATATTGCATTCCCACTTGGCAGCATTCCTCGAATGTTACTCTAAAGCGTTCTGATTAGATTGTGTGTGTGGTGAGTTGTGTTTTAATGAAGTTATTGACGAATTTTCCGGGCGGGAGACGATGACGGAAAAATACCTCATCAGATTGTTTTATGTGTGTCATTTGATAGCTCAATTAATTTAAAATAGTTTCTGCGCACAATGAGCAATGGAACAGTTTGTGGGGGTTTCTAATAGGAAACCGTATGTTAAGCATAAAATCCAATTGGTAACATCCCAATGGGATAATGCGTTTGCAATTGTGCGCGGAATTTACATGAAAATTTGCGTTTTTGTACCCGTTTCGTGTGGATTACATTTACAAAATAGACAATTATACATGTGTATATTATATAATTAAATATATATATATATTTTTCTCATAATGTATATATATAGATTTATTTATCATGTGTTTTATGTACTAAGTATACATATATATTGTATGAGAGATTTGTGTTTTAGAAACGTGGATCCATCTGTTTGTTTGTTTGTTTGTTTGTTTTGTTTGTGTGTAAACGACATGCTTGCACTTGAACGGTTATTTTTATTTCCCTTTTGTTATGCTTATTATTTGTGTTTCGTTTTGTTCTGGTTTAATATACAATTTGGATTTCGTTGACATTGTGTGTGCAGCCATACATACATATTACGTACGCATGTATGTGTGTGTAAGTATAACTATAAGTATAATGCTCTAGGTTAAATATATGCTTAAATATGATTTAGCTGGCACTAAAAAAAAAAAAAAAACCGGAATATAGCAACAGTTATTCGGAAATAGCCTAAAGTTTTCACTGACTGCAAGGTGTGTGTGTGTGTGTGTGTGTGTGTGTGTGTGTGTGTGTGTGTGAGAGTGTGTGTGTGTGTGTGTTGGTGAACGCTTTGTGGTTCTATCGACATGTTTAGACTTGATTAAAATCTCAGTTATATAGTAAAATATGCATTTGCTCTCACTAATTAAAATCATAATTATATCAACAACATGCACGCTTCAAGCTTGTTGAGTATGCGTGTGTGTGTGTGTGTGTGTGTTTGTTTGTAATCTGTGAGCGTACCCGCAGAGAATATTACAGGGTAGATAGATACATATGTATTTATGTACATACATCAGACATGTTTGGTAGCTTGATTGGTTGATTGATTGATTGATTGATGGAGAATTCGGTGAGAGGGAAACACAAAATGAAACACGAACAAACAAAGGAAATATCTAATAATACACATAATGCATACGAGAAACAAAAAACTAATAAAGGTTGTCTAGTTAACATAACAGCTTAGCATTATTAAATAAAATAATCACAATTTTACATTTTGAAGTTGAGTTTTTGAAACTCTCGCGCAAACTAAATACTAAAAGTTAGCGTGGGTACATTTAAGACTACGAATTTCGTGTTACAATTTGTTTTGTTTTCTTTTGTTTCGTTTCGGATCCTTAATTATCGATATTAGAATCTTGCTTTAGTTATACACAGCTATATTCGTGTGTGTGTGTGTGTGTGTGTGTGTGTGTGTGTGTGTGTGTGTGTGTGAGTGTGTTGCTGCCTTCTCGGTGCCCGCCTTCATTCAGTGGACGCTGTCAAGCAGACCGAAGGAATACAGCATCGCGATGAGGATCAGGCTTACGAGCATGGCAATCACAACGATGCACACAGGCCAGCATCAGTCCGTGGCAGATTTGCGCATTATCCGTCTGGCAAAGCCAATGGCCGTATCTCAGAGAATCTCACAGCAGCGACAATACCGTGGTCGGTGACCTGTCGTCACGGCTGGCGGGGTCACGGGCGCAAAGTAAGCGTGCACCTTGATATTTGGTAGATGATTCTAAAGAACAAACAAAGGGATTAGCAATTGGCGCAAGACTCCAAATGCCATGCCCACCTTCAGTTTGCGTATGGCCGCGCGTGAGATGAGCTGGCAGTCGAAGAGCTCGATGCGCTGCAGATTGTGACACGAAACTAAATGCTCCAGCGTGCGATCCGTTATCAGCGGACAGTTGTCCAATTCGAGCACCGAGAGGCTCTCCGCCGCACAGCTGCCCGTGGTCAGATGCCGTATACCGTCGTCCGTAATCAGCTCGCAGTGCGACAGCGTCTGCAGCAAGCATTTAGTTGTTTAACATAACGGACGGTCTGATCTTTTGGATGCTTACCAGCTTCTCGAGACTGGGACAGCCGGTGGCGAGATGGGCCAACGTTAGATCCGTTATCTGGCTGCACTCCTCCAGGTCCATGCGCTCCAGGTACTTGCAGTTGCGGCCCAGCGCCTGAAAGCCAATGTCCGTAAAGTTGCGACAGCCGGACACCTCCAGTGTGTTCAGCAGCTGATTGTGCTGCGACAGCGCCATCAGCGAGAGATCAGTTAGTTCCGCACACTTGGACACGCACAGCTTCTGCAGCTTGGGGCAGCACGCCGCCAGCTGTCGTATGGACGAGTCGCTGATGGTCTGCGACAATAATACAAAAATCAATTATATATATATAACTTAATAAAATGTATGTTTGTGCTGACGAACAGACTAACTGTTTGACCTGGGAGCTTTCACATTCCACCGAAAAGGGTGGAAAATCGGTGGAAGCGGTCAATCATTGAAAACGGAAGCTGTTGTTAGGCTGAGAAAACTCATTTTTAAAATCGAAAACTTTTTCCATCAATTAGAACCTACTTAAAAAGATCTATCCATAAATCAATATCAATATCTAATATCAAGAATATATATTGTGCAACATCCACGTTGCAGAGTGGAAATGTAATTCAAGATTAAATGGTATGTTATCTATAGCACATTTGTGGGTTTAATATAATCTTTTTAGAGTTTTTTGTGTCTAGCTTTTTCTGTCTCAGTCAGACAAACGCACATGACCCGTATGGGGCATTAATGGTGCCTGGGTCAAATGGGCGTTACCTCGCAGCTGTGTAGATTTAGCACCATTAGATCGGGACAGTATTTGGCCAGGCACGTGATGGCATTGTCGTTAATCTGTTTACAACCTTTACTGCAGAACTTGCGCAGCTTGACACAACCGCGCGCCAGCGCCTCGATACCATTTTCGGATACTAGATGGCACCAGGATACGTTGATCTCGAGCAGGTTCTGCGGGGCGACAAGAAAACATTTAAATTGGCAATTGACAGCCTGAAAGGACTTACACTCAACTTACCGGACAGCCATCCGATATATACTTGAGGCTATTGTCTGTTATGTTCGAGCAGGAGTCCAGGTTAATGGCCGTCAGCTTGCTGCAGTATCTGCTAATGTCTGTCACTGAGTTATCTGTGATCTTCTTGCACTCCGACAGATCCAGGTGTTCGATGTTGTGGCAGTGATTCGCTAGAGTTCTGCAAACATAATCGATCGGTTAAGATAAGATACTTTTTAAATGCGAAATTTGCATTAAAGTTGTGTGGAAGTTCTCCAAATAAGTGAAGGCAATTGTCAAGTGGAATACCCTGTAACTAAAAATGTGCGCTTTTCACATATTGCTTCCACTTCTAGCTGATAATTTGATATCTATATTTTTTTCAAATTAAATTCTTCAGTTGATGCCAGAGCAAAAGCATTATTAAAACTTCAATTAAGAAAAATTAAAGGGTATACAAAAGCTTGCTTATATTATTTGAAGACATTGGCTGCAACTTACTTGATGGACTGATCTCCCACCGATTGACAACCACGTAGCGAAAGCGACTTGAGGAAGCCGCCGCATCTTTGCGATATATTCTCAATTACCGGACCCTGTCAGATATATATTTATATATATGTAAGGAGTATATATTTGAGAATAATGTTAGCTGCAACTGATAGATACACACCTCAATATCACGTTGGAAATCGAACAAATTGATTTTCTGCCAGCTGGAACCGTCCAGGGCGAGCACATTCCAATATTTGCACACCTGCAATGCGAGGCAATTAATTGAGTTTTATCAAAATGCTTAGGGTACAGGTGCGGTACATACCTGAGCACAGCGGCATAGCGAGACAACATCCAGGTAGGAGAAAACGCGCAGCAGTACCTCCTTTGGCAGTTGTTTGATTAGCTCATCGTCCAGTTCGGTGGCGCCTAGGAATGTTTGCTGCGAATGCGAAATGCGACACAATCAGCAAATGGATACGCACACACATACACATACACACAAGTGCATATATCTATATATATATATATATATGTATGTGTGTGTGTGTATTTGTAATGATTTGTTTTAATAGAAATTTGATGGATTTGCTGTGCCAAAACAAAACAATTGACTCCGATCTTAATTGAAGCTGCCCCAAAAATGCCCAACAAAAAAAAAATAGATAACAAATTAATTTATGAACAATGCTCGAGACGAAGAGAAAGAGAGAGAGAGAGAGAGAGAGAAAACAACAAAGATATAGGCAAGGCTGGGGGCTAGGGCGAGGGCGAGGCATGGGCAATGTACAAAATGGTGGCCTTGATGAATGACCGCTGAGAGATGCCATATCGAGTGGAAACGATAATCAAAGCCAGATTTTTTTTTTTGTTGAACTGTCATTTTTTTTTGTGTTTTATCTTACGGGCTCGTCCTGCTCCCCGTCGAGCTGCATTTGTATTTGTGTGCGCTGCTGCTGCGCTGCATTGCTGTTGGTGTTGGTGTTGGTGGCCACCGTGCGCTGGTTGCTGCTCTGCTGCTGCTCCACAACGCACACCTCGTCGGCGGCGGCTGGCGAAATCGAGGACGCGCTGGAGGAAGAGTAGCTGGCGCTGGCGGCGCTGCCGCTGCCACTGCCGCTGCCGCTGTTGGCTGCCGTTATGCTGGCGACGGGCGCAGCGCTGCCAAAGGTTGCTGTGCGCCAAATGCTGCTGCAGATGCCGCTGATTAGGTTTGTGCTGTGATTATTATTGTTATTGTTGTTCGCATAGTTGTTGTTGCTGCTCAGTTGTAAGCTCAGATTACGATTGGCATTCGCATTGTTGTTGTTCTCGCCGCCGCTGCCGCCGTCGCCAAGCAGGTCCGCAGCTGACGCCGGCGTTGACGCGCTCACGCTAGTACTGTTAGTTGCCGTTGTGCTGGTGCCGCCGCTGCTGCTGAAGCTGCCGCTGCCGCTGATGCTGCTGCTGCCACTGGGCGGACACAGCAGCTCAATGCTGCCGGCAGTGCCACCGCTGCTGCTGCCGACGCCGACGCCGACGCCGCCGCCGCCACCGCCACCGCCATCGTCGGCGCTGCCTCTGCCGCTGCCCACATTGGGCGCAGCGCTAATCCCACTGCGCGCAAACATCAAGCGTTGTTCGCAAGTGTGCGAGCAGGCGCACGGCAGCGTCGCTTTAGTCTTGCCTTCGCCTGCTGTGCAGTTGTTGTTTTATGTCTTAACAGCTAGCTCGCACTCGCTCACTCCTGCAGAAAGAGAGTGAGTGAGAGGGAGAGAGAGAGAGACGTGTTCCGTTGCTCGCGGTCGTTTGCGTGTCTTCGTGTGAATGCACGATTAAATTATTCACAAATTGCGTATTTTGGTACGTCGCGTCACGTACTTCTCCTCTCCTCTCTTGCTTATGTTTCTTTTAACTGCTGCTTTATAACAAAACAAACCATAAATGTATGAATAAGAGACTGCGGCGAGCTCTCTTCAAATAAGAGCGTCAATTAATTGTGAATATCGCTGTCGCTGCTACACGCTGCTCTTATCGTGTTTTGCAACTGCAGTTTTTGTTGTTGTTTCTTTTTTATTTTTTTTTGCTTTGCACCAGGAACTTGGCTGTTAAATCGTTTTATTTTTTTGTCGTTTCTCTCGATTTCTGGTTTAGATTTTGCTTTATAGCTGCTCGTGGCGCGCACGTGAGAAATAGAACAACAGAAATACATATTAAAATACATTAAAGTGTTACCCAAGGTTGACGTCGCTGCGTGACAATCCAAATGGATGTAATATATGTACATGTATGTACATATCTATATGTATGTGCATACAGAATTCGCCTTCAACCGAACAGATACGGGCAACAGATCTTTCGCACATAATTGAAATATGTGCGCCCAACTCGCACGCTTTGCGTTGCGCCTCCGACTGAGAACCAAAACTGACGACCAGTCAATGACCATGTGAAACCCACCCCCCCTTATATATGTACATATTAAAAATATATGTATGGCATTCAGCTCAAATGAAAAATCATCAAAGCCAATTTAAAAAAGGCAATCATCGATCGTGTACAGTAAAACAATAACAAATCAGCTGATGGGATCTTGAGTAGCCAAGTGTCATCCCAGCATCCATGCCATGTCCCAAAAGTTACAGTTAATTTATAACTAAGCAACTAAAATTATACGTATGTACATTTGTACATCAAGAGGAAGAAATAATAATAGAAAAAAAAAAACGAAATAAATCAATTCATTATTTTTAGCCACATTTCATCAACGAGCAAATTGTTGTTTAATTAACAAATCATCATACACATACATACGTGCACGTGCACCACATATGTATGCATGTATGTACATATGTATGTAGAAAACATTTATGCATATTAAGCATCAATAAAGCTGCCAACTGTCACATTGATGATAAAAAAAAAACTGCTGATTGGAGGAGGAGCATGCGATGAGCGACAAGGCTTTTGAATTAAATTGACATTTATTTAAATACATACATATGTACATATATGTGTACATAACTATGTACACGTCTACATGCTTTATGATGGCACACAGAATACGGCCTTGATATAAATAAACACACTCTTATATGGTTCTTACCCATATGAATACAGGTATTGCCAAATTGAGCACAACTCTTGAAACCATATTTATATACATATATGTGTATGTAAATGTTGATATGCAGTTAAATGAATAGTTAGCACAATGGAAGTGCTTCACTCAATCAGCGTTCATTTATCAACACTAGAGCTGGGCATTTAACTGATTGAGAGACAGAGAGAGTGGGAGAGAGACGGCAGCTATTACACACGCAACAGCTCGCACAAGTTCATTTCACATTCGAATCACTTTTTTCAAGTTCTTATTCATCTAAACTAAACTAAACTAAACTAAACTAAATAGCTTCAATTCATTTCGCTTTATTAGGTGCACACTTTTCACTTGGCACAACGAGATGCGACGGTCACACAGATTGCACAAAATTAGATAAGTTTAACGAGGTTGGTTTCAGAAGTACTTGAAATCACATTGATTTTAAGCTAAAGCAAGCAAACTAATATACAGAATAAACTAAAGCGAATGAAAATTTGAAACACAGCTATTTTCGAGGAATTATCCCGGAGGTTGATTTAGCAACTCATTTGGCTGAATTCGAAACTCGCGGAAATTATTACTATATATTTCCGATTATGAAAAAACAATACATAAATAAAATAGCACATATATCGCAACATAATTGAGCTTTAAAAACGCGTATTAATGTCTGCCAATATGTTGAACTGTTTATCTGCATACGGGCAAGACTGCAACATTTGAAACTGCCCTCGCATGGGCGCATTTACATATGTCGTGCAGCTCGTGGCGTATGTTTCGCGCACAACCAAATTAATGTATGTTTGTGTGAGCGCATATGATTCTGTACGTGATTCCGTACATGTTAACACCTGGATTTGTTGGGCACGTAAAGCTGAAGTCCATCCGGAAAAAAAGCTCTGCAAACAGCTGAGAGGCCATTGGAATTGTAAACGCAATTGAGGTGCAAAAGGCGAACAAACGGCACAGATAGGTGCCAGAGAGATAAGTAGAAAGGTGTTGAGAGCGTTGTGTGTGTGTGTGTTTGTGTGTGTGTGATCGTCTTTAAAAGTAAACAACATTTAAAATGCTCACTCTGCATAGAGCACAATGTAGTTTTATTACGACCTCGATGAATGTAATGGCACAGAGCAGAAACTAAACACACTTCTGTATGTACATACATACATACATATGTAGATATGTACATTCGAGTGCTGGCATTAGTAGGACTGTATCTATGTATATGATGTACATGTAGGCGCACTGGATTTATATAAGCCATGGCCAAATCAAACAGCCCAATCCGCCAGCAAGTCAGCTGTGAGTTAACTGTCAACTGAGACGCTCGCTGTTGCTATTGCACTGATAGCCAGCCCCTAACTGTATATGCATGTACTATATACATACATACATACATACAGACAGACAGACATACTGATGCATATACAAAGCATATGACAGTCTTTATATGGACCCTCGAAGGCCACAAGGTCAACGAAAAGTGGGTCAGCTGTGTGCATATCTGTGCTACATACGCTCTATGTATGTGTGTGTGTATGTGTGTATGTGTGTGTGTATGCATATACCTATAAGAATTATGCGAACACGCAAAAAACAATCAAAAGCGAGACGCAATAAAAACAATGAAAAAGAATAAAGCCTTATCACCACAGCCAGCTACATACACACATGCATACATACATACACACACACATACACACATATATTCATACATATGTACATTACAAAAGCATAACAATTTCCCGTTTGCAGCAGTCCTCGGCCAGCTACCTATTTGAGCGCAAAACAGACAGCGATAAAGAGCAGAGAACAGCTGACGACACAAAAAAAAAAAAAAAAAAAACACCAACTATTTTCAAGCAAAGCACGAAAAAAATCAACAAAGTCAATGTAATAAACTGAAATGTGCACGCACACACTCACACTCACACACACACACACACGCATACGCACGCACATGTACACTTAGATTCAAGTATTTTGCATGTCCAGTTATTAGTAAGGGAACAAAAATGGGTAAATAAAAAAAAAACAGCGAGTACCATTGGTTTATTTTAGTTAACTGCTAAATTTCCTTATTTTTGAGCTGTGCGACGTTTTACATAGTACGCGCACTTTTCACTTTGCAGCAATAGGAATCGCATAGATTTGTACGCAAATAATTTGTTTTTATGTGGGGCTGGCTGCACTGGAATAACCAAATTCACACAAACAGAGTAAATGCAGACACGCGAGACAATGACAGCAGCAGCGAGCGCAACGAGGAAAGCGTCGACATGGATAACAACGGAGCGCAGAATGGTAACTGAGCGAGCAAACAGCTGAAGCTCAACTGCGCTGCGCTCGGGCTTCGAAAATGCATGTGGGGTCACACTGACACACGCAAGTCCATGTACACACACACACACACACACACATGCACACATGCACACATGCACACATACAGAAAGATACCAGAGAGCGCGCGCGTCAGTTGCGTGCGCGGGGGCGTCCGTTTGGGGCGGTGCAATGCACCCGCAAAAATAACAACACGAAAGTCTCAATGAGAGCATATTTATACATATGTATGTATGAATGAGTATGTATGCATGTGTCAGCCGAAGATAGAGCGAGAGTGAGAGAGCGCAAGCGTTTGACAACAAACAACAAAAACAAATGTCGGCATGGAACCAACTAAATTCCACTGCTGCGTTTAAAGCGCCACCAACACCAACACCATCAATCGCTCTATATCTACATACATACATATGCATTCACTTTTTAGCTGCATGCACAGCGCTGCCAGACAGTTGCACTTTCATGTCAGCTGTTTTCGCAATGAAAAGCCCTGCGGTCAATGTTTGCATTTATAATTATTGCTGTTAACTTGTTTTCAGCACCAGCCAGACACAAACTAACTGTAAACGAGCACAGACACACACACACACACACATACACTTGTTCCTAATCTATTTTAGACAGCTGAGAGCGATAGCCACAACGCAAATCAAAATCAACCGCCCTCCCCTCGGCAATTAGCATGGGTTTGGCAACTACAGGAGAGCGAGTTGCGGTCTGGCGACTGCTGCACTCAGGCTCCAATTTGGCGACTTGCGCTGACTCAAACACACTCTTACCCATAAGCATATTTACTTATGTACGTCCGTTTGTGCGTGTGTATGTCTGGCAATGCTTATTTACATTGAAGACTTGAAATGGAAGAGGTTCCCGACACTGGTCATTAGCTGGAGGCAGACTGGGTGGGCACCAGCAGCAGCAGCAGCAGCAGGGTCGTCGCCAACATCAATGGCAACGGCAACGGCAACGAGTTTATTGCACTTTAGCTAAAGTCACTGTTAACTTGTGTAAAAAGACAAACAGAGACACAAGTTCGGGGTTGGGTAACAGCCACTTACACTTTTAGGAGCGGTATGGGCTTGGGAGCAACAGCTCGCAGCGCCAACAAAGGCAACATTTTGTTCTCACAAAGAACCAACTTCGCTATAAAAATATAAAGAAATCAAAAAAGGAAATACATGTGTGTGTGTGTGTGTGTGTGAGTGCATAGCACAACTGCAACCGTATAGCGGGGGCAAGCCGAGCAAAGGGCGGCAATCTTGTTTGACTGACTGTCTGGAGTTTGGGTGTGTGTATGCGTGTGTGTGTGTGTGTGTGTGAGTGAGTGAGTGCATGTCTGTGAGTGTGTGGGTGACTGTTTTGGCTGATGCGCGCAAACAAAAGAGCAACAACTATGTGCACACACACACACACACACACTTGAATATTTTGAAGTGAAATGGCCAATGAGAGACAAGGAAGCTGTTTATTGTTTGATTTTTGGCTTTTATTGCTCTGATTGTTGTCGGCACTGCGCTTAAATTGCATTCCCAGCCAGCCCGTAGCCCACAGACCAGACAAAGTAAAGGAATCACTAGATTCTCACACTGGCTTCCCATACAAGTTTAGTCGTCTACACCGACATGTGAATAAACAAAGTTCTGTTTTCTTTGGGTTTTATGACGAGTTTCGCGTGAATGGCGCAATATATGTACATATGTATGTATGTACATATCTTGCCTTGCATACAATTTGTTCATAAGTTACATCTACTTACATCGATTCGATGATTGCGATGGTTCGAATTGGTCATTTTATGCGCCGCGAATTGCTGTCGTTGCCCTCTTTCTTTCTCTCTCTCTATCTGTGTGGAGATATTTTTCTTTGTTGGCCGGCCGTTACGGCGTCCCCTTCCCACGCGCACAACAGCACACGCTCTTCGGTGTCTGCTTGTGTATATGTGTGGGTAAGCAGGAAATTATGCGTCGCACTGCGGCTGCTGCCCTGTTTGTTGTTGCTGCTGCTGCTGCTGCTGCGGTTGTTGTTGTTGTTGTACCAATTGGTAGTTAATGCACTGGAGTTCTTTGTTCTTATGCGATCTTGTTGCTGCTGCCGCTGTCGCGTCGTTATAATTAAACATTATAACAATCTGAAATTGTATTTAACCCGACTGGTTCTTAATGCGTAAATAACTTTTTCCCTGTCGAGCATTTTCATTCGTATTTTTTTCGATCGTTATTCGCAGTTATTTTTATACGCATTACACTTGCTCAACGTACACAAACATACTCAACAATTATATATTCGTTTTTTATCTCTTTGAACTGTGATTTCGCTGTGCGATTGCAACATTTCAATGCAATTTTGCAATTATATTAAATGCGTTGTTCTACCACTCTTTACACGTCTCGTTCTAACTTTGTTCTGTTTATGTTTATTTTTCTTGTGAAAATTTCGAGATAGCCATAATAAACGATGAATACGATGAATCGATGCAAGTCAGCTGTGTTTTGCTCTGCTCATCTCTATTGGCGACTTGCAATATGCGATAAGCCACAAACAACAAGGTCAGCTGTAAAGTACTATGTTATTTAACAGCAATATGAATATGCACTAACTGCAATCAATATTTTATTTACTTTGTTTGTTGTTTATTGTAAATAAATAAATTGCTGCAAATTTAAGGAAATACCTTGCAATTTATGTAATCTTGATAATAATTGCATTGGCTTTGTTAAGAATCGATACATCGCTGCTTCATTTTGTTACATTATTAATTACTATATTTAATATAACAAAACAAATAAAACAAATCAAATCATCTAATTTCTCACTTATTCACTTCACTTATTCAACTCGAGAGCTCTGTTTAAAATAATCTGCAATAAGCGATATATCGATAAGAAAAAAAAACAAAAGTGCGCGGCAAAAGTTAAATTGAAGAGATTCGACTTCTTGATTTGCCTAAATACCTAAAATTATTCATAGTCAATTTTAATTGTATTGTAAATACTTTTTTTTAAGTAGCTGCTTATTGAAATAGTTTTTTTATGACAGTTTTTAAAAAATACTTTTGGTCACAAATGACCAATGAAATTCACCATTCACCGGTGCAACAGTGTGACCGTTTGTGAGTCCAAAATTAGTACATTTTGTCAAGAGTATGCCGAATACTTGTTGTCTTATCCGTCTCAACTTGGTCGCTTGGTTTATTTCGTTAACAAATAAAAACATAAAATGTGGCCGGTAATAATGGCACTTTTGCGGCGCAATGCTGTCTACATTACATTGCCCGTTGCAGCCGTCGTAGGTTTTATTGGCTACAATCTGGAGAATCTTATGTCCGACAAATACACGCCATACAGTCGTGAGTATCTTTTTAGTTCGGTGCATAACATGCCGTTAATTTTACCTCATGTCTATTATAGCTTCCATACAAGAGGTTCGCTCTCAGCGCCAGACTGATGAAAGCCTTATAGAAAATGCAGGAAACGTGGAAAAATTGCACTTAACGAGCTCCGTGCTGGAGCGCAATTTGTCGCCATCCCTGCAACCAAAAGCATAATTAGTTTACGGCATTGTTACCTAAGTTATAGTGGATGTTAATTAAAATTGTAAAGTAAAAAATAAAATTCAAAGCAAAAAAGATTAGCAGCCTTTTCAAATGACCACATTTTTATCATCCCTTGCGGGGATCGAACCCGCGACCTTTGGATTAGAAGTCCAACGCGCTATCCTCTGCGCCAAAGGGACAGGTGGTGGACGCTTTGCCAATAACTTATACAAGCCAAGTGGAGTTTTTTCAACCAATTCTCAGGCAAAGCTCGTTCTGCGCCTGCTGGCTTCCTACAAAATAATTCAAAACTGTTCTAAGCATACATATACAAAAGCTTAACAGTTGAGCTGAATGCTTCTAGAACAATTCTGACTAAAGTATTTTCTTAAACGTACACGTGTACATGGCCTCGGTGGCGCAGTTGGCAGCGCGTAAGTCTCATAATCTTAAGGTCGTGAGTTCGAGCCTCACCCGGGGCATGTAACTTTTTTTGTGTGTTTCCTTCTCTTCGTTATTTTTATTAAATTTATATTTATTCAGCTTGACAATTTGAAATGATTCTAAGTTATTGCTTATATCAGAAACGCTTACATGCTTTAGCTTAAGGAGTATTTAATTATCTCGTGGCCTATTTTCCCATGCGCTGAATGGACCACTCCTGCTGACACAGCGGGCAGCGATTGTTCTGTTTGACCCACAAGGACATGCAGCAGTGATGAAACGAATGATTACACTCGCCCCAAACGACAACGCAGTCCTGTCGGCCCAGCACGTCCCGCTTGTTCTCCGCCTGGCAGCGCAGGCAGGAATCTGCAAAAAAAAGAACAAATACGTCAGCGATCGAGAGTTTGAGAATTTGAGAAATGTCAGCCCAATGACAGCCGGCTGCTGGCTGCACGGGTAATTGGATACGTGCGGATGACGCACATAGATACTCGGGCCAGTTCTAGATACAACAACAACAACAACAACAACAAGTTTTAACTAAAGGCAACAGCTCGCAGCTGTGGGCTGGATTGTCAACAATTCATTAGAGAACAAATCGGGCGACTTGTTACGCAAAGTTCGCAGATATTGTTTCAAATGTTACGCTGCGTTTGGAGCACAATTGAATTATGACTAAAAATCAAGTTGATTCCATTTCCCGTTCGCTTTAAGTTTTTTTTTTTTCCACATTTCGCAATTTGCAATTTGATGTGCGCGGCCTGGTCTGATTGCATTCATTCAACATTTTGGCCAAATTCACACAACATTCTCTTTCATTCAATATTATTAAATATTGTTAATCCAAATCAGATTTGCAGCCTGTTTCGCTGCAAGGGTCACTGACATCTCCAATTGGGAACGCATCGGTTTTCACCTTAACAAAAAAAAAAAAAAAAAAAAAACAACACATTTTCTCAGAATTTTCTGTAAATTTGCCAAGGCAATGCAAAAGCCAAGCTCAGCCGTTCAATCACAGTGCAGGCGGGTGTGTGTGTGTGTGTGTGCGAGTGTGTGTGTGTGTGTGAGCTTAGGCATCACCTGAGCTACTTTGGAGTGCAGGTGTTGGTGTTGACATTTCGAAATCTGAATGCGTTAGCAAAAATTTATTAGTACTTGCTGCCTACATTAAAATACAAAAAAAAAAAACAACAGAAAAAAAAAACAACAACAGGTAAGTACACAGACTTGTCGACTACAAGATACTCTGTAAACCAGCTGAAAGTCCGAAGTTCGGAATAAATAAGTTTTGATTTATTCTTTCAGTCAGATTTTTGCAAGTAACTTAAGCTGGTTCTGAAGGAAAGCTTTTGACTGTTTGCATTTAATTATATAAATTTTTGCACTGGAATAATTAAACGCCTATTGCATAATTAGTGTATTAGCTTCTCGGCTTTTCTATAGAAGAAAAAGATCTAAGTCGAGTTCAAAGTAATTCAAATTTACTTTAAAGACATTTTTTCATAAATGGGAATATTTATATGTAGAATATAACTAGACATCCAATAGGATACCAATTGGACATACGTTCCGTAATTCTTATGCGATTTTATGCGAACAGATCTGAAATGAGAACTGTTATACGCTGGTTTGAATCTAAGCTATTTGCAACTGAAACTGTTCGAAAATGCTAAAAAACTCGAATTTGAATGTCATTAAAAGATTGATTATGCATTGTATACACTGCGATCGTTTTTACAGGGTATCAACGGCGTAAAAGCGTTGTCAATAAACATGTTGGCGGATGGGGGCATAAAGTATACGCCACATTGGCTGGGCCCTTGCTGACTTGGGCAAAAAAAAAAAAAAAAAACCAAAAACAAAAAGAAAACTTAAAACAAAAATGTGATAAAAAACGAGCGTGGGGCTGGAGGGGGGGGTGGGCGGTGGCACTAGCTGGAGCCAGCATTGAATGAGTCAAAGAAATGACATATGTACATTATTGTTCTTGTTTGGTGTGAAAAAGCGCAACACAATTTGCATGGTTTTTGTGCTGTGGCCTGAAATTGTAAACCGACAACAGGAAATTGTAAACATTTTTCTTTTTTTTTTCGTTTTATTTTTATGAATTTCCACGAATTTCGTAATGCTACGCAAACTATGAAGTCAATAGCCGATCGACCCCCGAACAGGTATTAAATGCGCTTTAAATTAACTCTAACTATCTGCTCGAATGGCCATTCGATTCGGCTATTGGCCCCTGAACTAGGCCCGCGCCAGTCTTGGCCCATTTCAATTGGCTCTGATACTCTGCCAATTACGGGTTCCATTGTCAATATCATGACGCAATCGTAACTGATCTGGCCAAGTCTCCGATGCTTATCTATGGGGTTTACTGTATCTGCCAGATGATAACAGACCTATGTTCGGGTTATTCAAGATAAAATAATGCCACACCTGTTAATTGAACTGGTTCTCCTTATATATACCACGATTCTGATCAGACCTCTCTCCCAAAGATTTCCTATCAAGGAATCGACTGCTAACCAAAAAAACTTAATTGAATTTTCATCGTATTTGCTCTTATTTGAAAATTTTGTACGCTCCAAAAACGAGCCAAGTTGAGTTTTCTTTTTATTAATTTTCCACTATTTTGAAGACTTTGATATACTTCATTAACCATATTATTTCGATTTTAGCTAAACTTAAGCAATAAATCTTCTTAAAACAAGTAAGAGGTTCTAGTCGGAAGCTCCCGACTAGGGGATACCCCGAACCCTCTGTTTCCAACATCAAATGCATATATATATATATATTCTGCCCAAAAAAAAGGATATCGATATCGATTTTTATCGATTGCTTGGAAACGGAGTAAGTTATCGATTATCGGAAATAAACTCGATCTGCGCAGGCACTAGGATGACCTACATCTTAAATTTCTCTAGCTCTTATAGGTTCTGAGATCCTTGCGTTTATACATACGGACAGACGGACATGGCCAGATCGACTCGGCTATTGAAGCTGATCCAGAATATATATACTTCATGGAGTTGGTGATGCTTCCTTCTGCCTGTTGCATACATTTGGACTTTGCACAAATACAATATACCCTTTATACCCATTTTGAATGGGTTCAGGGAATAAACAACAAAATTTTGTTAAATTTTTATTAAAAACATCTCGTATGTGTTTTTGTTTTTCTCGAACCAACTCCAGGCTAATTTTACGCTATTCGACATTCATTCAATATCAATTAGCAAAACTTGGACCATAATTTTGGCCAATGGCTAATGGACTTATGATGATTTGGCAGCCAAGCGAAACCCTGATGGAGAATTGTTTTTATTTTTTTTTTTGGTCAGTTTGTTCCCAAATCAGATGTCGAGATGCGTTCGATGTGGCTGCGAGTGCTGCAAATGCTGCTCGGACTGTGGCTGACGCTGGCGGTAAGTGGAAGCCGGATCGTAGACGAGCAACTGGACTAATCTGGACTTTGCCAATCTAGGATGCGCGTCTGCTCAAGTTCACGAATGTCAAGTGCCTGGAGCTGCCGACAAATGCGGGCTTCAGCAGGTACGAGTACTGCCGCCTGAAGGTGGTGCGGCGCAATCAGGTGGAGCTCTCGCTGAAGGTCAGCCTGCTGGAGCTGCCCATCACGAACCTGACCACCAGGCTGCAGTGCTTCCAGCGCAGCGACGGCTATCGTCCGTTCATCTACAATATACTCTTCGATTTCTGCAAGCTGATGGCCGCACGCAAATATCGCATTTCCTTCGAGAGATTCATCTTCGATGCTGTGCGCCAGCACAGCAACTTTAATCATTCGTGTCCCTGGCGGGAGGATCACATGACCGTGGAGCGTTACGCTTTGGACTTTACCAAGGTGAACATGCCCGTGCCGGCGGGCGTCTATCGGCTGGACTTTACCTTCTACGCTTACGGCATAGCGCGCACCTTGACGCAGGTCTACTTCGAGAAACTCGAATAGGTTATGGCCACAAAATGGCGTGGTTCGATTCAATTCATCTGAATTCATATATATATATATATATATTTTTTTTTTTTTATAATAATTGTCTGGACAAGTTAAAGCCAATCAAGGCAATAAACAATTACGGTACACATATGTATCTATATGGACATGTGTGCATAGTATATGTCTACGATCTAACGTTTGGCGAGGGCTTGTTTAACCAGGGCCCGGAGCACAGTGGGCCGTAAGTGCTGCAAACTGAAGTGAAACAGTTTGTAAAGTCGACGTTATACAACACGGTGAACATATCTATTCACATTCAACTAGCTACAGCACTTATTTTGTGATTTTTCAACACTAAATAGAACAAACCGCATCAATTCGGAACTAGTCGAACGTAAAATGAAACAATAAAAGAATGAAATTAAATGCAAGTTTGAAGGAAAGAATTTAAATGAAAATCATAACCGGAACTTTGGGTTCCGCCTTCACGAACCGAACCGAACCGAAGCGTATCTAAAGCGAGGTAGCTGGTTCGAATCGTGAACGAAACCAGCGACTATTTGGCTTGTCATTGCAGCTGCCCATGGAACACATTGGCCATTAGCATACTGTGTACTAACTAACTAGTCGATGCAACAAATTAGCAAAGCAGTATCTGTTTGTGTTGTTGTTCAATGCACATATTTAGTAGCTCTGTATTTAAGCAGGGAGTTTTCATGCTCCATCGATCCGGTTCAATTAAAAAGTTTTGGCCCACTGCAAACTTATATTATAAACAATTCAAATGCGTCATTTAATTAAGTAAACAGTTGGTTTTTTATTTTCTTTATACCCTGTACCCATTGCAAGTGCAGGGTTTCTTGGTTTTGTGCAAGTGAACGTAACAGAAGGCTTCTTCAAGCGCACAAGGTTATTAATTAATAACAAATATAGTGTAAAATCGCTGCTTGAATATTTCATTAAATAAACTTTAAATCAAAGAATAAAAGTAACACAGTCTGGCCTCTCTGTTTGCTGGTTACAGGGTATTACTAGTCGTGCACTGCCCACCAATGCACAATTGCTGATCGAATGCCCTAGGACCGACAAAAGGTAGGTGTGTCCGCGGTTAGCATCTTTCGTGTTATGGATAAAACAAGTATGGAAAGCGACAATCAGACGACGTCGTTTTAAGCGGGTTAATTAAAAATGTGCATTGTCAGAGCTTGAAAAAGCGAAGACAAATGAAACGTGACAAATGACGCAACAGACCCAGATCTGAGACCGCAGCTCAGGTGACTTGCGGCATTGCACAATGAGAAAATGAAAGCGCAGTGCAAATGTTCTCCATAAGCTCCGAATCTGGCTAACAATTGAAACATTTACATTTTTAACATTTGCGACTTCCATTATGAAGGGCAGCTTTTCGAGCTTAACTAAAAACAAGTTGAGGTATATCAGTTAATTGGCCCCATAAATCGTAACGTCATTTGATCGGATTTTTATGGCGCACCATTAAAAATCAATTTGTAATCATATTTTATAGATAACATTTTCGGATTTATTATGTGATGCATGTGACAATTTTGTATGGTTCTAGTTCATAAATAACATCTAGTTCGCTCAGAATAGAAATTCCGATCAACTCTGTTTCGGAATAGTTCAATTGAACAGGTTCCATAACGCAATACATGTGAATCATTTCATCAAAGGGCAGGCAAGCGGAAGAAGAAGAACAGCAACAAAAACCAGCTCGACTGGCATCAGAAATATTTTTAGCCAAGTCGGCTGATACGACCAGACATCTATAAATACATAACTGCGACAAATCAAATTCCGGTTTGCAACACCTGACTAGACGCCAATGAACCGGGCCTAATGCATTCAGACCCAGCGCCTAGGCGAGACATGCAAATGTGCCGTCTCTCTTGCCTGCGCCCCTCTCTGTCTGCGTCTTATGTAACTTCTGACTGACAGCGAGTGTTAAGTTCAAGGTGAACAACGAATGGACGGGTAGAAGGGTGGACGGGAACGTATGCGGGAATTGCGGCCCGTTCGTATGACAGTTGTCTGTCTACTATTAGCGCCATTCCTCGCCATCAATTTGTGTAAGGAGTGGGGGAGCGGAGGGTGTCTGACTTTATTGTTTCGATAACTGCGTCTTATCGGCTGGAATATCGGTCACATGCTATCGCACTCTCTCTTTCTCGCTGATTGATCAATTGCGTTGATTCGCAACTTGCACGATTCACACACACACACACACACCCCCCTCCCATCGTTCCACTCTTCGTTAAGTTTCCTTGACCACATTTCGCCCAGCAAACACAACTCGTTTTCGAGTCGTTCGATGTCGTCGTTGCTCCTCTTCTTATTCGCTTTGCTGTAACGGTCTCGCTTACGTGACGTCACACACGGGGGCTTGTCTTGTGCGCCGAACAACAGCAGCCACAACAGCAACAACAACAACAACAACAACAACAACGACAACGACAAAGAAAAACAAAACGAACGTGCCCCCAAAACCGGCTCCCTCTTGCTCTTACATTCGCTTACTGCTCTTACCTCCGCTCTTAAATGCATCGCTCAGCAGAAACTGTGATGGCCAAAGAGATGCAAACAAAGAGTAGAGTTTAACGGGCTAAGCTCAAGACGCTGCAGCAATGCGCTACAATGCGCAATGGAAATCTACACAAGCGCTGTGGAAAGTTGTTGGAGTTAGTTTTTTTTTTTTTTTGTTTTGGAATATATCGATTAACTAATGTGCGAATGTCTACGGCTACTTGTGGAAAATCACACATGTGACCAAATGGAAGGTGCGAATCTTATTAACCAACTGTTAACTTAAGGGCGCACAGCAGCGAGATGATCACGAAACGACGCACTTACGTACTTTTCACGGACCTACGAAAGTTTTCCCTTATTTACGGAACATCCAATACACGCGGACTATATAATTGTTTTATAAATTTAAGTCGACAGAATTTCGGGAAATGTGTACTTAATTTAAATCTATACAAGTTTTTGCAAAAAATGTTTTGTTAAGCTAAGCTTTCGAGTTTCTTCAATTTATGGGGGAAGAACAGTAAAGACAACCTAATTTGCATACGTATAGATACATGTATGTATGTATATTATACTTTTACGTTTTCAATTGAAATGTTCGGCCTGTTTTCTCCTGTAAATAACATGATCAACTTGAAGCCAAATAGGAAATCAAGTCGTTGGCATCTTTTGGCAATCTGCCTGTCTATCTCGAGGCATTTGTGAAAACGTGCAGATAAGTGCATAGACAGGAGAGGGACTGAGGCGGAACCAGGAGATTCTGGCATGTTCCACTTGTAGGTCGGCATGCCCAAAGTCCAACGATCGCAGTCACATGCAGAGTGTGATGACTAAAGACACAAAAGGCAAATGAGAAGAGCAGCAGAAATAGCAACAACAACAGCAACAACAACAACAACAAGAGAGCTTTGCCAACCTGAAATCGATTTCGTTCAGCAAGTAAAACAGAATCGATGTACTCGTCTGAAATATTGCGTTTGCGTATGTATGTGTGTGCGGGCCGCAAGATCGAGAGAGAGCGCCAAAGTGCGCTGTCGCTCAAGGAGATCTGCAGGAGAGAGCGTGCAAGGGGTGGGGTGTGTGTGTGTGAGTGTGTGTGTGTGTGTGAGTTACTCTTCATTGCATCCATCGTCTGACGCGTTCGACAAATGAATGGAAAATTTCGATTTTCGTTTCGCTTTTGCCTCTTACATTTATATTCCTAAATGTTTGCACTTCTTCTGCATATGGCAACGACAGTGTGTATGCGTGTGTGTGTGTGTGCTTGTGTCTTTGCTGGTTATTTTCCATAAAAATTTCCACTCGTGTTAAATTTAGGACTTCACGCGACCTCAGGCACGCGAGACATGCACACTTATACACTTTTCGGAGTAAATGCAAGATTGTTGCGTTCGTGTGTTTATGCCCAAAAATTCCAACAGCAGCAGCAGCCGCAATTTTACAACACTGTTACGACTTCTTTTTAAAGAGAATGATGTAAAAAATGTCCAGGGATTAAAACTTTCTTTTCAAATATTCCGATTTAACAATCGCCATGCACATTTAGAGACTTAATTTAATGACAAATTTTAAAATATATAAAAACTACCAGAGAAATGTTAAAACATTATGTTAAACAGTCTAGATCTATTTTTCCTACCATAACTTGTTAGTACTTGTTTACTAGGGCCCCGTGCTAATCCGCCGCTTATCATAAGCACAATAACTCAATATCTCTTATCATCTCATCCCGCTGACCTTGCAGTGTTCGCTAACGATTGCCGGGAACTCAAGACTCCACACACACGCTCTGGGCACACTTTACATAAGCGGTGCTCCGGGGCATGTGCACTCGTAACGGCATGTAAATATCTTCCCGAAAGGTGCCCGATAAGTGCCAAGTTCCAGTTGCCTCTTGCGATAAGCTCAAAACAGCAGTTGTAAGCCGAGAAAGAGTATCTGACCGGGTAATACGAGTATGCGGCCGATAACATTCGCAAAACAATTCTCAGAGCCCCTTAACGCAGATGTCATATATGTTATATACTATTGATTCGTTCATCTGAATAAACATATTCCCTTCCATAAGCTGATGCAAAAGTCAACAAGAATATGAAAGTATCTTAAAGCTGTCGCAGATTCAATACCCCAGCAGAGATATTCCATGTTATCTATTCTTATCTAGCAAGCAGAATCTTATCCATATCGCTTCTTATTATTTACTTTATTATTATTCCTAATTGAAGTCCAAGTTTGATACTTGGAGATTCCAAGTATAAATATTCTAATAAGAATTGGTAATCTTGATGGAAATTTTTGAATGCTGCCCTCAGTTTTTAGGCCCGACTACGATCCACGTAAGACTCCGTGTTGACGTCGTGGGTGTGAGCAAATATTGACACGATGCCGTTACTTAACAGCTGGCAGAAAGTCGTCATCGGTTCAAAACTAACAAGTTCACATTTTCCACATTTAGCAGTCGATAAAAATGTGGCGCGCTTCAATGCTGC